CCATTTTCGACGTCATGTTTCCTTCTACGGGAGCCCATGAGGACAAAATGCATGTACTGATTTGTAACAAACGGTTACAAAACTTTGGTCATTCTTAATTGTTGCTGTTTTACATATTTACCTCTTCATTTGGTGCCAGGGAGTCTGATGTGCTTGTTATTTTGCTGAAGTTTGCACTCCCCAGGGCTTTTTGACCCTAATGGGCATCTGTTGGTAAGGCCTTACTCCAACACAAAAATACTGCTTGCTTGCAAAGATTTAGGTATCTACTGCCCCCTATCACCAGGAGAAATACATACTGTCACTTTAAACATATAAATACTGTAAAACTATTTTAATCAAATCTAAAACTATTTTAATGCTAAGTTATATTTAAATGTCATTTTTAATGTAAATGTGGTGGTGTTTCACTGCAGTGATACGGGCATTGAACAGGTGTAAACTGTGCTTAATAAGCAAGGTCGTGTGAAGTAGAGTTGCTGAGGGTGCTGCAGCACCCCCTTGTGGATGACAAATTATATGCATGTTGATGTTCTGCAAGCAAAAGTCAAAGTATTTTATTAGATTTTGAGTTTAACTGAACACAACTACCAAGAATAATTAATTACTATTACACATAAATATCTATAAACATGTTAAACACGTGTGCGATTTTTTTATATGTGGCTGATCACAGCACCCCCCTTAGGAAAATATGTTCTCACGGCACTGTTAATAAGTGTGTCATGGATTTTATCAATATGTTTATCAATACCCCATTTCCTATAGTGAAGAGAGAAGGAGACAACGAGCAGACAAGTCAAACAGTTATAACTGTGGCACATGCACGAGGCAAAATGCCCCGAACATCTGATCACAGAGTTTATTTAGAGAGAGAGAGAGAGAGTGTGTGTGTGAGTGCGTGTGTGCGTGTGTGTGTGTGTGTGTGTGTGTGTGTGTGTGGCGTGTGTGTGTGTGTGTGTGTGTGGCGTGTGTGTGTGTGGTGTGTGGGTGTGTCTGAATGAGTGAGCATGATCAAAGAGGCATAGAGCAATAAATTTACATTCAATTGATTGAGTCAATGATCAAGAATTAATAAACATAAATTTTCCATAACAAAGTGTATTACTATGCTGTAAGCAGGAGTGAAACTGTCGTAACAAGCTGCGGTGGGAATATTCGACGAGGAAACACTGATAGAACACCGGTCTGCCTTGGTGAAGAGAGAGCTGAGCTGGAATCGGGCCCGGATGTAGACATGGGCGAGGAGGGGCAATGCCCCCCTAAAAATAGTAACTCCCCCCCCCCCAAAATGTGATGGCATGTAGAAATCCCAAATTTGAAAAGATTTGATGAAAAAGGGTCAGAGTGCTCTCCTCTCTCTCTCGCTTTCAAAGCAGCTGCTGATTGGTAGATGCATAGGGAGGGTGTGGCCAGCCACTGCACTTCGTTCTGTCCGTCGTGTCAGTCGCTTCACACACTCCCAGTCAGCAGCAGAACACAGAGATGCACCGTTGTTATCTGAGCTCAGCCACTGGTTGAAGTTTTCTTCTGCTGTCGGTCACTGGAATAATCAGGTTACACTTTCTCAAGGTTTTAGTTTGCCTCGTTCTCTTCTTTCTTTTGTTTTTGAAGTGAACCGAGTCGACATGCGCAGGTTTCTAAACCTAGCAACAGTGCTACGGCACTAGCGGCAGAAGCCGCTCGTCGGCCGCTGCTTCTCAACTCGAAAAAAACAGATACTACGTAAAAACTAGTGGAGAAGTAGTTCAGTTCCTAGCAGTAAATGAACTAGTGTGGAAAACTCCAGTGGTGATGGTTTCTCTGCAGGACTCTTCTTAAAAATGGTCGACTACACGCTGGCCAAAGACTCCAAATTTAACGAAATAAACAAACACATCCCAGAAAATGCTAAACACACATCTCACAACATTCAAAATGAAATTAATGAAACACTGGCAAAATGTGGTATTAAAAAATATCAAAGATAATTTTGACTAAGCAGATTATGCTGGGTTTTGCATTAAAAGCGATGGAACTAGGGACAGATGCGATGTGGAGTGTTACGTCCCCGACATGTGTTGTTAACATGTGAAGGAGGGGGTAACAAGAAATGTGACAGTGGATTTAAAATGGGTTTAATTACCATAAAAGGTTTTAAAAACAAGCGAGCAAGCAGATGGAGAGCATTATTAAAATACTGCCTAACAAACATCAAGACTAAAAGGTTCACATTTAAAGGACCACTTATCAACATTTAAACACCAACTTCGTTCAAAGTTCTACCAAAACAGAAGGTGTCATAGAAAACACAAGTTGATGATAAAAACGACGCACTACGAACACACCGAGTGTTTTAAAATCCCAAAGTCGGTAAACTACGATGTTACCCTTAAAATCAATACATAGACCACAAAGATCACATGGATCTTCTAAAACATACAAAAGGGGTTTAAAACAAAGCGTAAGGCCTGGAGGACAGCAGAACCCCTAGAGTGCTGAAGGCACGGCCTCTTTATCCCAGGTGTGGGTCGTCAGAGATTCATCTCAGCTGTGCTCCTCAGCAGCCTGGAGGAGAGGAGGAGGAGGGGCGGTGTCAGGCTGATCCCCAGGTCTGGGTGATCCTGGCTCCTTCATCCAAAGTGGCCAGGCTGGTGGCGTAACATGGAGAATCATTCTTTCATGGTTATATTTGTCTGTAACGGCATTCCAGAAGAACACCTGATCGGTCTGCTTGACCTCAGTCAGTTAAATGCTGAATTTATTACCACCAAAACCCTTGAGCATCTCTCTGACTCAGGCTATGGTGCAGCTGAAATGATCAGTCAGTGCTATGATGGAGCTTCTGTCATGAGTGGGATCAGGGGTGGGGTTCAGGCCTTACTGCAGAAGAAGGTAGGGTAGGATGTTCCCTACATCCACTGCTACAACCACCAGCTGCACTTGGCAGTGGTCCATGCAATGCAGACAGAGCCATGTGCAAAAACCTCTTTTGATCTTTCAGGATCTCTACACTCATTTTCCACCATCATTATGTTTCACAGAACTACGACGTTCCCTCCCTGAAACGACTGTTGGAGATCAGGTGGACAAGCCACCATGATGGGACCAAGCGCCTTGTGGAGAATCAGGATGCTGTCATGAGTATCCTGTCAGAGGTTACAGAGGACAGAGCTGCTGCTGCTGATATCTGTACAGAGGCATCAGGACTGCTGATGATGTTAAGGAGGCACAATTTCTTTGAAATAGGAAAATTCCTCCTAAAAGTTCTGGGTTCCTTGAAGTCTGCAAATTCTGTGCTGCAGTCTCACTCTGTTGGCCTGTGCTGTGCTTCAGAAGTAGTCAGTGCATCTCTGCAGGCTTTGAGGCAGATGAGAGATGAGGAAAGTGAGACAGCACACCTGCACCAGCTGCTAAAGACAAAAAAAAACAAGCTCACTGCTAACAGGTGGTGTTGTAATGTCCACTGTGGGCCACGCAGAAGACTCCACGACTCCTGCAGGCTCTGAAGAGAGCTCTTAAACATTTTGGACATAGTCGTTGTAGAGATGGAGACAAGATTCTCCAAAAGCAATCTTGATCTCATGAAAGCCGTTAACTGCCTTCAGCCTCAGTCTCCCTCTCTTCTGGATCCTGACATGTTACGTCCTCTGCAGAAAATGACAGGAAGTGACAGTGACAAACTTTCCAATGAGATTCTTGTTGCAAAAATAATGTTGGAGAAAGAATTCAAAAAGACTGATGATGATAACAATGTAGAGTTTGTAGATCTCTCCACCGTTTGCGCATATCTACACGGGTATAAGAATGCCTTTCCTCAGCTCCATCGCATGTATGTGACCTCCCTTGTGATGGGAATATCAGCAGCATCATGCAAGAGCTCTTTTTCCACTTTGTCTCGTGCCCTTACCCCGTTCCGCCGTACTACGCTACACGAGAGGAAAAGAAATGTAGTCATTCTGGCTCACGAGAAGGCCATAACAACAGGCCTGGATATGGATGGATTTGTTAGGACTTTAGCACAGAAAAGCAGACGGCTGATGCTGTAATGACTGATAAAAGCCATAAAGAAATAAAAACAACAAGAATTCTAAAAAAATAAATAAATAATATATGAGTTAAATAAAGGATAGACAGATAAGATAGATAAACACATAAAAAAAGACATAAAAAACATAGATAGATAGATAGATAGATAGATAGATAGATAGATAGATAGATAGATAGATAGATAGATAGATAGATAGATAGATAGATAGATAGATAGATAGATAGAGAGAGAGATAGAGAGATAGATAGAGAGATAGATAGATAGATAGAAGACAAAAAAAATTAAAGGACAGACAGACAGTAGTGTAAGGAATGGATCAAAGGAAAAGATAGATGTATGGATAAAAGAACTGTAATGATGATGGATAGTTTTCTATGAATTTAGGGATTTGGGGGTATGCGACACCCGAAAAATTATTTCCCAGACTTGACCCCCCGATAATCTACCTACCCCCCTTTGTAGGGCTGGCTAAATCCGGCCCTGGCTGGAAAGCAAAGCTGTAGTGAAGTTTAGACATGGGAACACATTACCACGAACAGCTTTAATACACTATTTTAATTGTTTTGTTGTGTTTATAGAGAAATTATTTTAACCACTGTTTTTATTGTAAACACCAAGCTTCTTACAGTGTCAATTTAAATGTAACAGAAACAAAATGCTGAACAAAAATTAAGAAAAAAACAACAAACTAAAGGGGATGAGTTCCAGCCATTTATTCGTTTAAATAAAATATGTGCAGTTTTTTTCATTGAGAATGTGTAAAAGTAAAGAAATAACCTTTAACTGGAATAATGGGACGTGATTAAACCCGCGTGGACGCTTCCTATTCGCTCAGCTTTAGCAATTTAGTTGCTAGTGAACCACGCTGCGTGGCATTTGGGGAATTGTAGTTCAACAAACAGCACGTTCGTCCAAGTGGCTGAAAGATAAAACTACAGTTCCCATTATGCTGTTGTCACCCAAACCCCGCCCTCTGCTGAGCGTGTGACTCTCAGCCTTAATAACAAACCGTTCGTCGTAGAGCATCTTGTTGCTAACTGGGTTCGTGTGCAGCTAATTTCAAAATGAAGTTGCAGTGTTTGGTCGCGGCTCTGTGTCTCGGTGTGGGCGCCATTGCTGGGAAATACTCTCGGGAAGTGAACGAGCCCAAACCGAGCGGCAGCGATGAGCAAACGGTGGAGTTCAGAATTTCCAAACTCAACCAGGTTTGGGAGAAAGCTAAACGGGTATGTACGAGAGCCTGCCGGACAAACATCAGCAAGGCTGTGTCTCAATTCAGGGTCTGCATCCTTCGAAGGACCCAGCCCACCCGGCCGACGTGGGCTGCGTCCTCCGTCGGCCGGGTAGACCGGATGTTAACGGCTGTGAATTTGGACAGGCCTAGCCTTCATGAACTCCCTCGGCGAACGTTCCGTCGCCTAGCAACCATGGAACCGCTGGGCAGAAGGAACCTTAAACGATGGAGCTCGACGTTTTATTTAGCTTTTTAACCCCCAGAAACCCAAATTTAGAAAACAACTGCAAAATATTTTTTTAACCTTTCACATGTTGTTCTAGGAGGCCAGATAAACGGGCCTATTTACACATTTTAACAGCCAATAGTGTTGCAGAACTGAACAATAGGACCTATTAGCAATGTAAATGTGGTTTTAAAAAGAAAAAAAATGGGGAAGGTTTATTTTTGTGGACTTAAATCTGATGTTGTAATATTACAACCGTGGGTCTCTGGGGGTTAATCATTTCCTTGACTGTTGGAGAGCTAATTCAGAGAAAATACTTTAGACAAGCTGAGCATGAGCAAAGATGTGATAATAGTTTTTAATACTTTCTAAGGGTCTTAATTTGACCAAAACCGATTTATCACCTTTTAAGACTTTTCAAGACCCAGCGGATACCCTCTAGTAAACAATTCTCATTTGTAAACAAAAATAAAATTCAAGAGTTTAATGCAGAACTGATTTTATTTAGATATTTCTTTTACATGTACATGTTTAATCTTCCTTAACCATTTTTTCTAGCAAAGTAAAAAGCTGTCAAAGTTCTTCCTTCTCTCCTGTGCTCTCTGCTGCTCTGCCTCCCTCTGCAGCCTCAATTCCTCCCAGATCAGCTCCAGATGCTGGTCATCGCTGGCACCTTCCCCTGGATGCCCATTTTCTCCAGAATAGTCTTAACAAACATGTAAGAAAAGAAACAGGAAGAGAAAAGAGGACAACGGGTTATTCCTTTCATGTTTTCGCAGAAAAAATAAACTCAAACGAGTTTTTAAAATATGAGATGTTATTGTACCTCCATGCCACAGCCGCCGAATACTTTGCTCCGGTGATCATGTGGTCCATCTCTGTCCTAAGCTTAATAAATTCCCTGGTTTTCTCTTTTGGTCCTAAAATACAAATTTCAATTAAAATCAGGGGGAAACGTAGCGGGAGAAGTACGACACCGAGCGCGGCCGAACATACGAGCCGAGACCGCAGTACAAGCACTTTTACTGTAACATTTCTAACTAAAATAACGTTCATGTATCACAAAAAGTCCTTAAACTGACAGTTTTCAAGTTTATACTTACATTTATATGCGCAATCCTCTCCGACAGCTCCCGCTTCACTGTCCGCCATTGTTTTTAAGTTTTTCTGTCGGCCGGCCCGCAAGGCATCTTGGGAAATGCTACCTATTGAAGGATACACCCGACCCATCCTTCATTCAGGCGAAAAGAAGGCCGCATTCGTCGACCGCATTTGAAGGAGTCTTCGAATTGGGACAGGCCGAGTCGCGGCGCTGTGACGTAACCGGCCGACGAATCCGGCCGAGGTAGGATGCAGACCCTGAATTGAGACACAGCCCGTATGTAGCTGGAACAGCCGTTAGTTTCAGTGCGACAGTTAGCTTTATTTAGGCTAGCTAGGGCTGTGTCTCAATTCAGGGTCTGCATCCTTCGAAGGACCCAGCCCACCCGGCCGACGTGGGCTGCGTCCTCCGTCGGCCGGGTAGACCGGATGTTAACGGCTGTGAATTTGGACAGGCCTAGCCTTCATGAACTCCCTCGGCAAACGTTCCGTCGCCTAGCAACCGTGGAACCGCTGGGCAGAAGGAACCTTAAACGATGGAGCTCGACGTTTTATTTAGCTTTTTAACCCCCAGAAACCCAAATTTAGAAAACAACTGCAAAATATTTTTTAACCTTTCACATGTTGTTCTAGGAGGCCAGATGAACGGGCCTATTTACACATTTTAACAGCCAATAGTGTTGCAGAACTGAATAGGACCTATTAGCAATGTAAATGTGGTTTTAAAAAGAAAAAAAATGGGGAAGGTTTATTTTTGTAGACTTAAATCTGATGTTGTAATACTACAACCGTGGGTCTCTGGGGGTTAATCATTTCCTTGACTGTTGGAGAGCTAATTCAGAGAAAATACTTTAGACTAGCTGAGCCTGAGCAAAGATGTGATAATAGTTTTTAATACTTTCTAAGGGTCTTACTTTGACCAAAACCGATTTATCACCTTTTAAGACTTTTCAAGACCCAGCGGATACCCTCTAGTAAACAATTCTCATTTGTAAACAAAAATAAAATTCAAGAGTTTAATGCAGAACTGATTTTATTTAGATATTTCTTTTACATGTACATGTTTAATCTTCATTAACCATTTTTTTCTAGCAAAATAAAAAGCTGTCAAAGTTCTTCCTTCTCTCCTGTGCTCTCTGCTGCTCTGCAGCCTCATGTCCTCCCAGATCAGCTCCAGAAGCTCATCGCTGGCACCTTCCCCTGGATGCCCATTTTCTCCAGAATAGTCTTAACAAACATGTAAGAAAAGAAACAGGAAGAGAAAAGAGGACAACGGGTTATTCCTTTCATGTTTTCGCAGAAAAAAATATACTCAAACGAGTTTTTAAAATATGAGATGTTATTGTACCTCCATGCCACAGCCGCCGAATACTTTGCTCCGGTGATCATGTGGTCCATCTCCGCCCTAAGCTTAATAAATTCCCTGGTTTTCTCTTTTGGTCCTAAAATACAAACTTCTATTAAAATCAGGGGGAAACGTAGTGGGAGAAGTACGACACCGAGCGCGGCCGAACATACGAGCCGAGACCGCAATACAAGCACTTTTACTGTAACATTTCTAACTAAAATAACGTTCATGTATCACAAAAAGTCCTTAAACTGACAGTTTTCAAGTTTATACTTACATTTATATGCGCAATCCTCTCCGACAGCTCCCGCTTCACTGTCCGCCATTGTTTTTAAGTTTTTCTGGCTGTGTCTCAATTCAGGGTCTGCATGATCCTACCTCGGCCGGATTCGTCGGCCGGTTACGTCACAGCGCCGCGACTCGGCCTGTCCCAATTCGAAGACTCCTTCAAATGCGGTCGACGAATGCGGCCTTCTTTTCGCCTGAATGAAGGATGGGTCGGGTGTATCCTTCAATAGGTAGCATTTCCCAAGATGCCTTGCGGGCCGGCCGGCAGAAAAACTTAAAAACAATGGCGGACAGTGAAGCGGGAGCTGTCGGAGAGGATTGCGCATATAAATGTAAGTATAAACTTGAAAACTGTCAGTTTAAGGACTTTTTGTGATACATGAACGTTATTTTAGTTAGAAATGTTACAGTAAAAGTGCTTGTATTGCGGTCTCGGCTCGTATGTTCGGCCGCGCTCGGTGTCGTACTTCTCCCACTACGTTTCCCCCTGATTTTAATAGAAGTTTGTATTTTAGGACCAAAAGAGAAAACCAGGGAATTTATTAAGCTTAGGGCGGAGATGGACCACATGATCACCGGAGCAAAGTATTCGGCGGCTGTGGCATGGAGGTACAATAACATCTCATATTTTAAAAACTCGTTTGAGTATATTTTTTTCTGCGAAAACATGAAAGGAATAACCCGTTGTCCTCTTTTCTCTTCCTGTTTCTTTTCTTACATGTTTGTTAAGACTATTCTGGAGAAAATGGGCATCCAGGGGAAGGTGCCAGCGATGAGCTTCTGGAGCTGATCTGGGAGGACATGAGGCTGCAGAGCAGCAGAGAGCACAGGAGAGAAGGAAGAACTTTGACAGCTTTTTATTTTGCTAGAAAAAAATGGTTAATGAAGATTAAACATGTACATGTAAAAGAAATATCTAAATAAAATCAGTTCTGCATTAAACTCTTGAATTTTATTTTTGTTTACAAATGAGAATTGTTTACTAGAGGGTATCCGCTGGGTCTTGAAAAGTCTTAAAAGGTGATAAATCGGTTTTGGTCAAAGTAAGACCCTTAGAAAGTATTAAAAACTATTATCACATCTTTGCTCAGGCTCAGCTAGTCTAAAGTATTTTCTCTGAATTAGCTCTCCAACAGTCAAGGAAATGATTAACCCCCAGAGACCCACGGTTGTAGTATTACAACATCAGATTTAAGTCTACAAAAATAAACCTTCCCCATTTTTTTTCTTTTTAAAACCACATTTACATTGCTAATAGGTCCTATTCAGTTCTGCAACACTATTGGCTGTTAAAATGTGTAAATAGGCCCGTTCATCTGGCCTCCTAGAACAACATGTGAAAGGTTAAAAAATATTTTGCAGTTGTTTTCTAAATTTGGGTTTCTGGGGGTTAAAAAGCTAAATAAAACGTCGAGCTCCATCGTTTAAGGTTCCTTCTGCCCAGCGGTTCCACGGTTGCTAGGCGACGGAACGTTTGCTGAGGGAGTTCATGAAGGCTAGGCCTGTCCAAATTCACAGCCGTTAACATCCGGTCTACCCGGCCGACGGAGGACGCAGCCCACGTCGGCCGGGTGGGCTGGGTCCTTCGAAGGATGCAGACCCTGAATTGAGACACAGCCCTAGCTAGCCTAAATAAAGCTAACTGTCGCACTGAAACTAACGGCTGTTCCAGCTACATACGGGCTGTGTCTCAATTCAGGGTCTGCATCCTACCTCGGCCGGATTCGTCGGCCGGTTACGTCACAGCGCCGCGACTCGGCCTGTCCCAATTCGAAGACTCCTTCAAATGCGGTCGACGAATGCGGCCTTCTTTTCGCCTGAATGAAGGATGGGTCGGGTGTATCCTTCAATAGGTAGCATTTCCCAAGATGCCTTGCGGGCCGGCCGACAGAAAAACTTAAAAACAATGGCGGACAGTGAAGCGGGAGCTGTCGGAGAGGATTGCGCATATAAATGTAAGTATAAACTTAAACTGTCAGTTTAAGGACTTTTTGTGATACATGAACGTTATTTTAGTTAGAAATGTTACAGTAAAAGTGCTTGTATTGCGGTCTCGGCTCGTATGTTCGGCCGCGCTCGGTGTCGTACTTCTCCCGCTACGTTTCCCCCTGATTTTAATTGAAATTTGTATTTTAGGACCAAAAGAGAAAACCAGGGAATTTATTAAGCTTAGGACAGAGATGGACCACATGATCACCGGAGCAAAGTATTCGGCGGCTGTGGCATGGAGGTACAATAACATCTCATATTTTAAAAACTCGTTTGAGTTTATTTTTTCTGCGAAAACATGAAAGGAATAACCCGTTGTCCTCTTTTCTCTTCCTGTTTCTTTTCTTACATGTTTGTTAAGACTATTCTGGAGAAAATGGGCATCCAGGGGAAGGTGCCAGCGATGACCAGCATCTGGAGCTGATCTGGGAGGAATTGAGGCTGCAGAGGGAGGCAGAGCAGCAGAGAGCACAGGAGAGAAGGAAGAACTTTGACAGCTTTTTACTTTGCTAGAAAAAATGGTTAAGGAAGATTAAACATGTACATGTAAAAGAAATATCTAAATAAAATCAGTTCTGCATTAAACTCTTGAATTTTATTTTTGTTTACAAATGAGAATTGTTTACTAGAGGGTATCCGCTGGGTCTTGAAAAGTCTTAAAAGGTGATAAATCGGTTTTGGTCAAATTAAGACCCTTAGAAAGTATTAAAAACTATTATCACATCTTTGCTCATGCTCAGCTTGTCTAAAGTATTTTCTCTGAATTAGCTCTCCAACAGTCAAGGAAATGATTAACCCCCAGAGACCCACGGTTGTAATATTACAACATCAGATTTAAGTCCACAAAAATAAACCTTCCCCATTTTTTTTCTTTTTAAAACCACATTTACATTGCTAATAGGTCCTATTGTTCAGTTCTGCAACACTATTGGCTGTTAAAATGTGTAAATAGGCCCGTTTATCTGGCCTCCTAGAACAACATGTGAAAGGTTAAAAAAATATTTTGCAGTTGTTTTCTAAATTTGGGTTTCTGGGGGTTAAAAAGCTAAATAAAACGTCGAGCTCCATCGTTTAAGGTTCCTTCTGCCCAGCGGTTCCATGGTTGCTAGGCGACGGAACGTTCGCCGAGGGAGTTCATGAAGGCTAGGCCTGTCCAAATTCACAGCCGTTAACATCCGGTCTACCCGGCCGACGGAGGACGCAGCCCACGTCGGCCGGGTGGGCTGGGTCCTTCGAAGGATGCAGACCCTGAATTGAGACACAGCCTCTGCCGGCCGGCCCGCAAGGCATCTTGGGAAATGCTACCTATTGAAGGATACACCCGACCCATCCTTCATTCAGGCGAAAAGAAGGCCGCATTCGTCGACCGCATTTGAAGGAGTCTTCGAATTGGGACAGGCCGAGTCGCGGCGCTGTGACGTAACCGGCCGACGAATCCGGCCGAGGTAGGATGCAGACCCTGAATTGAGACACAGCCTAGTTGTCCAATCCTGGTCCTCGAGGGCCACCGTCCAGCATCTTTGGGTTGTTGTTTCCCTGCTCTAACTCACCTGAAGCCTGTTAATCACATACGGATATAAATCATGTGTTAAGCAGAAACATCTCAAACATGCAGAAATGGTTGTAAACCAAGATGGGCCGCACTGGTTTCTTACTAATAAACTTCTGACTGTTCAAGAATCAAACCCATCTGCTGTCATGTACAAAGATATGTAGTGTTTATGAAGTTATGCTGGTCTTTAACTGGGGTGGACGATGAGAGTTTGTAGCTAAGGAGGCAAATCAGAACTTGGTACTGTCTGAAAATTCTTACTAATTTTAAATGATAGCAAAAAAGTATTGGGCCTGATAAGCAAACCCTTACTACTGTCATACCAGGAAGGTTAGGAGCACAATTGCAAATGTGTGTGCTTGTTTAAAAGTCACATGATCGTTTGTTGCTCTGCATTCAAAGCATCACTAATGTTGGAAAAACGCTTGTTTCCCTTTGATCTGGGTACAGTTAAATGTAACTTTATAAGAAATCATGCAACTCACACCAGGTTCACCGCAAGGTCAGACTATGAAGGACTCGTAGGTTCAGCCAAATAATCCAGTTACGTCTCACTCTCTGCAGGTCTGAGTTCATATGTTAAAGTTCGCTAGAATAAAATGAGAAAATAAAACTGAACAGTTTTGGGTTGGTTAGTAAAGCTAACCAGTCTAACCTTTGGAAAGTTGCCTGAAAACAAACCACATGACATTAAAATATTTTGTACATGTGAGACTAAAGTGGACATGTTGTTCAGCCATATTACTAACAATACATTTATGTTAATAAAATACTCCACATCAGCACAATCACCTCACAGCTGTTAGGCATGGAGGCAGAGGGCTGATGATTTGGGCTGGCTTTGCAGGAACTTAGTGGTACCCATACATTCATTTAACAACCTCCGTAATAAACCGGAGAATCTGAAGTCCAGTTGGAGTTTTATTATCTAAAACTTTGGCCAGGTTTTTTGTCTTGTAAAACAGTCCATTAATGTTCAGAAAAACTGGTGTCAAAGTCTGCACTCTAGCCTGGTTAATTTATAGCAAGACCTCAAGTAAAACTTTCATAAAGCTGCTTTTAGCCTCAGTTAACTGCAGCAACATGAAGAACAGTCAGACGTTTCTTCTCCAGGGTGAGTTTGTGATGCAGAAGATGATTTCTGTATGTAATTCGGGGCTTTTACGGTGCTTCTTAAGCTACTGAATCGTTGTGTCCAGTTGGATAAAGCCTTAGAATGGTGGTGACACCCCCCACCCAAAATAGGGTGTTCCCAAAGTTTTCTGTGCTGAAATTGTGAAGTTACAAAGACTATAGTAGTAAAAATTACATTTATAAATTCCCAACAGTCAGTCATACTCTGTGTGTGTGTGTGTGTGTGTGTGTGTGTGTGTGTGTGTGTGTGTGTGTGATGGGGTTGGGGACCACAGCCTCAGAAAACAGAATTATTGTTTTTTTTTTAATTAAAAAAAGAATGAAAATGATTTTTTTATTTAGTGTCTCTCAGGGTAAAAATCATGAAGCGCTTCACAAGAACAAACATTTAAAATATAAAAAAGATTATTAAAGCATTAGAAGAAATTACAAATTTTGAATTAAAAAAATACGAGGAAAGAGAAAAATAAAATGAATAAGAAAGAAGTAATCAGTGGATCCCGGGATAGGAGGTCCAGAGTCTGGGGGCCACAGCAGCAAATGATCTGTCACCTTTGGTCTTTAGCCTGGTGCTGCACAACCAGTAGGCTTTGATCACTGGACCTCAGGGACCTGCTGGGGGTGTAGGGACTAAGAAGATCACCAATGTAAGATGGTGCTTGTCCATGTAAGGCCCTATAGACCAGAACCAGGATCTTGAAATGAACCCTGAAGTTGACTGGCAGCCAGTGAAGCTGGAGGAGAAGCGGGGTGATGTGGGTGTGTTTGGAGGACTTGGTCAGAAGCCGAGCACAGGCGTTCTGAACCACCTGTAGACGGTTCAAGGAGGTTCTGCTCAGACACGTGAAAAGAGAGTTACAGTAGTCTAAGCGTGAGGAGATGAAGGTGTGGAGAACTGTCTCAAGTTCAGAGCGGGACAGAATGGGACTCAGCTTAGCAACGTTCCTGAGATGGAAGAAGGAAGAGCGAACAAGAGAACTGACATGAGAATCCAGGGTGAGAGCTGGGTCAAAGGTCACACCAAGATTCCTGACAGAAGGTTTGGCGTGAGAAGCAAGCTGACCAAGAGAGTCTCTGACTCCAAAATCAGAAAATAAACTTTAATCTGACTTTTTCCATTCATTCCATTCCATTTATTTGATAAAGCACATTTAAAAACAGCATGTGAGCTGACCAAAGTGCTGTACAGGGGTAAAAACATATAAGGTTAAAAGAATAATATAAAAGAATAAAACAACTAGAGCAGAACAAAAAGAACCATGAGAAGTCAATAAAATCAGTCAAAGAACAGTGTAAATAAACCATCGATAAAATAGCTAGGTAGTAAAAGCAAGAGAATAAAAATAAGTCTTTAAGTGGGACTTAAAAACCCCAATGGAGGAGGAGATTCTGATATTCAGTGGGAGATCATTCCAAAGTTTTGGAGCGCAGACAGAAAAAGCTCGTTCACCACGGGTTTTGCAGCGTTGACGGGGAATCTGTAGGAGGTGTAGGTCACCTGAACGGAGAGTCCTGCCTGGCACATAAGGAGTGAGTAACTCGGATATGTAGGGTGGTGCTAAGCCATTCAGCGCCTTAAAAACAAACAATAAAATTTTAAAACGTATGCGGTAGTGCACAGGAAGCCAGTGAAGTCTTGCTAAAATTGGAGTGATGTGCTGACGACGGCCAGTATTGGTCAGAAATCTTGCCGTCGTAGTAGACTTTATGGATTAGATGTTTTTGTTTCTGCTCGTCACTTTCCCACCTAAATGTTTATATATCTAACTCTTTCTCCACGTCCTGCTCTTATTGGTCGGACAGATGCAGCTGCCCCCCGTCCGCCAGGCCGAGCTGCACAGTGACCTGAAGATCCAGGAGAAAAACGAGCTGCAGTGGAAGAAAATGAAGGTGGAAGGCTTGGATGAGAACGGGGAGAAAGAAGCTCAACTCAGACGCAACTTCAACGGTGAGAGGGTGTCCGGGTTTGTTCTGGGTTCCACACCCGCAGTGATCCTAGAGCCTCGTTCCAGAGACGAACATCTGTCAGGGTAATATTCATCAGTACCAACGCTGAAATCTGGAGCTGCTCTGTGAACACCTCCGTAGCGGCAGGCGAGGAGCCATCCACCCACACGGCTTCCTGCCACGAGCAGCAGGTAGTCGCCCTCGTTCCTGCAGCTCTGGCAGCAGATCGTTGCACCAAAGCTGCTTCATCATCATCATCTCTGAACAAGTCGGTTAACACGGGCCACGCAACGTTTAAAGCCTCCGATACTGAGCTGGTCTAACTCCTTATTTCCTCTGTGGTTGTTTAATCAGATTTATTTTATATCGTCTGAAAGGTTTTTTGTTAAGAAGTCGAACTGAAGGCTTGGCTCAAAAGAAGGACCAGAACATCCTTTCCCTCTGAGTTTATGGAGACATTAAAATGGAAGGATGGCTGTGAGTTAAATGTGTGATGCAGGTGCTGCTGCAGAGCAATAAACCGGGACAGGAGCGTTTCTCTAGAGATCCGTTTTCAGATCAGAGGCTGCAGGAAAATCCAGCGTTGGCTGATCTTACCCCTTCTTTCCACCGGAGCCGTCAGCAGCACGTCACAGCTGCTGATAGGAACCGCTGTAGTCAACAGAACCTTTTCCACCGGAGCCGTCAGCAGCACGTTACTGCAGCAGCACGTCTTGCTCGCGTAAGCTGCTGCTTGGCCCTTCCCACGAGACGCGAAGCAGCAGGGGAGCAGCTGTCACCGACCGAGCACGAAGTCACACGAGTGACTTCGTCAGTAAACACAACAACAAGCAGGAGAAAACTACAACATGGTTTGTGTTTTATGTTCTGTCCGTTTTATAATCACCATTACGGACCTGAAAAACAAAGGAGACCGCTAGCTAGGTGATAACTTCTCACGGGGCCGCACAGTTAGTAACTTTAAGTAAAGCAACCGGAAGGCAGTACGTTTCTTTATTCTGAAAATCTCAGGAGCTTCGCTCCGTTTCCGCGTCTGATTTCCTGTCTTTCCTTCCCCAAAAATGTCGAACTTGACCCGTTTCAGAGGCGTCGCGCGTAGAAAATAGAACCTGAGACACGGCCGACTCGCGCTGCTGACGGCTCCGGTGGAAATCCGGGGTTAGACCCAAAAACAGCCCCTGCTGTGCTGCTCGGCTCAGCTGTTCTCTGTGAAACACGCCGGGACGAGAGTTAATGATGAATGTGCCTCTCTGCTGTCGTGTAACAGGTTCATGTCACGGTTGTTCACCACAGCGTTGTTTAAAGCGCAGTGATCGTGTTTTGCAGTGATCCTGGCCAAGTATGGGATGGATGGAAAAAGGGACGCTCGGTCGCTGGAGAGCAACTCTCTGAAAGATCACGAAAGCAAAGATGGCGACGTGTTTGATGATCCCAAACTGGACAAGCTCTGGAACAAGGTCTGTGTGGAGAATGCAGATGAGTGATGTTTGGATGTGCTGCTTCTGCCCTTTAAAGCTGCAAACCTCAAACCAGCTAAAACATCACCGATGGAGTGCAGCGAAGGTCACGTTGCATCCAGAAGACCTTCACCCTGTGGCTTTTACATCAGCTGTTGTGAGATGAGGAAACATTTTAAGAGCTTCGTTTATATCATTTATCTGATGTTCCCCTCCTGATGCGCGCGGCGCCTAATGATGGAAATAAGAGGAGCACTAACGTTACCGGGTCGTTTGGGGCCGGAGGGGTTTAAATGTAGTCATTAAACCTCCACACAGCTGAAAAGGAAATGCGTTATTAAAGAGCAAGTCACCCCCTACCAGAGTATTACTCCACTCCCACTTCCTGTTTGAAAAATTCAAATGCTGTTGCCTAGCAGACTGAGTGGGCGGAGCCGCTACCAAATACACACTCACAGGCTGACAATGACATTGTGACATCATATGGTACCAGCTCTTAGCCAATAGCAATGGCAGATTTAAATTCAAATGCAGTGCCGAGTTTTTACCTGACAACGGCACAACACTGACAGTTTTAGGCAGAAAATTTAAATTTTAACTAAAATGCACTAAAGTGCAAAACTACTGACGACACGTGTCTGCAGCACGATTAGACACACATTTATATAGTTTATCAGAAAAAATAGTTGATTTGGGGGTGACTTGCTCTTTAAAGAAGATCCGTTATAAAAGCTGATGGTGGTTGTTGGGGAGGCGCGTCACCGTCTCCGCAGCAGGCCTGGTTGGAACATGTGGGTGAGACTGGGCGTCTTCTCATGGGGTGAACCGGTGGTGGGTTTACGGTTTTTAGCCATCGTCCCCGAGGACAGCTCAGATCGCCTGTCAGCTGCTTGTAGACGTTTATTTTTCTTCTTTGTGGGTTTAGATGAATTCAGCCACATAAACTCTTAAAGTGGCAGCTCCTGAACGAGGATGCTGATTGTTCCAAGCGCGTCTTCGTCTGTAGGGTTGGACGTCGTTTAATTTAGAACGATTCCGATTTCAATTCCTCGTTTCGATTTCCGATTCTTTCAAGACGTGACATGTTTAACATGAGCCAGCCAACCACAGGTCCTACTTGATGAAATAATCTCAACTTAAACATGAATTTTAACTCTATGAACAACAACATCACCTTCATTTAGACAAAAACATGTTTTGGAGGAAAAAATAAAAAAGACTTGCAGCACAACCAGTGTGTTTGTTTCTGACCACAACCAAAGTGTGGAAGAAGCCTCTGGGATGAGAGGCTAAATGTCTCCATCATATCCAGAAACGTCCAGCTGTTTTCAGCTGAAACTCTCAGGATGATCATGTCCAGGATGACTGAGAACTACACCTCCATGCTGCAGCAGCATTCAGTCAGAACAGGAAGTGAAACTTAAACGTAGCTGCTGTCAGTAACAATCTAACAGATTTTAAACATTAAAACTCAACAGAAACAGTTCAGAAAGGAAATTAAAATGTTATTTATTATTATTATTATTATTATTTATTGTGGCAGAAGCTGGTGTGGTCCACCACAGAGAAGCTGCTCTAGCATGATGACTTTAATTATTCTACAGGTTATTGTTCAGCCTTCTGACACACACACACACACGAGTGTTGGTGAGCGGCTGCGTCTGACTGCTGACGCTCCGTGTGTGTTTTTATTTCTGCAGTGAGACAAACTCACCTCACACCGTCCAGAGTTTGTTCTTTAAAGCTTCTATTAAATCCACCGTGTTGACGTATTTAACACGTTTCCTCTACGCTGCAGGAGTAAACGTTTACATTACGGAGTAAAAGTTCGGCAGACACGTTTGTTTATATCTGGGTGGGGGAGGGGGGGGCTTGTGCTGCACACAGACAGCTGGTGTGATCAGCTCTGAAAAGCCTTGATCACAATTTGCAGATCACGTTTATTTTTCACGGAGATCGGCCGCGGATTCCTCTTCCGGTCGGCGTTCTAAGAATCGAAATAAAAAACTTCGAACGATTCCAGGAAAAATGAACTGTTGGTCCCGGTTCCAGTCGATGCCCAACCCTACTCGTCTGTAGCTGAAAACAAACATGGACGGGTCAGGACGGATCTCTGTTTGTGGCGCGCTGAGTTCAGCTCAAAACGGGCTGGCGTGATTGGTGTTGGAGCCTTTTGAAGGACGCACAGCTACCCGACACGCTGCTGAAGTTGACACATGTTAGGTTTGTTAGGATTTTATTACGGCGAGCGGTTGTCATAAATGTCTTTGTTCCTCTTTGTCCACCAACAGGCCCAAATCTCTGGGAAGTTCTCCAGTGATGAGCTGCAGAGCCTGAAGAGGGAGTTCCAGCACCACAAGGACAAAATCCACGAGTACAACATCCTGATGGACACCGTCAGCAGGACTGAAGGTGAAACTTCACCACTCCACCCTGAGGAGTCTGCTCCAGAGGGACTATTAGCTTAAAGCTGCTATATTAGGCTGAAGTGTCACGGTCACCGTGGTAACATGCAATCTGCTTGATGCTCACAGTCACAACGACCACTTATTCACTCTTACTCACAGCCAGGTAGGAACAGGCTGAAGCTGCGTGTTTTAGTTTAGAAGTCTGGCTCCGACCCGGGGTCGGGTACGTAAGAGGCAGCTCGCCTCCCATGATGGGGAGTCTCTGTTTACCATCACACCTCCTCCTCCCGTCTGGGTTTCTCCTTTTTCATTTAGTTTGCTTTCTGCCTTCTGATCCAAATGTCAGCTGATCCGATTCGGAGTTCTGCCGCTTTCAGCCTTTTGTTTGTTTTTCTTCTTGACTTTCTGGAGGAGACTCAGAAATCTCATAACCTGCTGGTATTACCGGCTAAGCCCCGGCTCACGGACCGCTCCGGGATGTGATGAGGGAAGAGATTTCATATTTGGGGATAAATCTGATCTTTCTCGGGTTATTTTACAGCAGCTACTAAACGCTTTAGCTCTTCCTCCTCTTCTGCCGCTTTAATTTCCTTCTCCTGTCGTATCTCCCTCTTCTCCTCCTGGCCTCGCTCCCATTTAACCCGACCACCCACTGAACCCTGCTGGCTCCTCATCACCTCCCAACAGAAATCCACAAGAACGTGATCTCCCCCCTGGAGGGCGATGCCAAAGAGGACGCGCTGCAGCGGAAGCACACGGAGCTGAAGGAGAAAATGAGAGACCTCAACCACGGCTTTGAGCGCCTTCGCAAGATCAGCCACGAGGGTTTCACCGAAGACAGCGGTGAGGCACACACCCAGTTTGTCGCTATAGCAACGCTGCTGGATCACCAGTAGAAGTGATGTGATGACGCCGCTGCTGTCAGTTTTAATTGAGCACGTCTCTAGGAGGACAGTGGAGATGATTTAAGGAGCTCCTGATTCCTTTTTACAGGGTCCTTAAAAAGTCTTAAATTTGCTTTTCCAAATTTAAGGCCTTGAAATTCCTTAAAAATGACAAACAATCCTTAAAGGGGCATTATGGAAGTTTGACAGCCAAAGCATGTATAGAAATAATAAATTTCTTCTTCGTACATTCTCCTGCAACGCCCTGGTCCTGTAGAATGAGCCCTGGCATTTTTACTGTGATTGCCTGTTTTTCTGTAAAATCACAGAAAAAGAGAGATGCTCGGGTCGAGCAGGCTGCTTCATGCGCGTTCACGCTCAGGCATCGCCCGTAGCATTTGCTATCCGTAGCTTTAGCAGCAGAGAGAGAGGTAGTGCTCCTAACGCCTAGTGACAAAGCTAGCTACATTTCTGAGGACCCTTAGCTACTTTCTGTAGAACTTTCTTCTAGATATTTCCTGCAAATTAGCAACAAAATAGCCGTTTTCACTCCGAACCGTTCTTTGGTTTGATGTTGTTTCAGCTGTCATCAAGGATATAAATGTTACCGATACTGTGAATGTTACTAGAGTGTAGCTCACCTAGTAAGACGTTGGACTCTCATGCAGAAGACCTGGGTTTGATTCTGGGTGTGAACATAGTTTATTTAGAGTTTCTTTTTTACATTATTGGTATATTTTTTTTACAGTAAAATGCCCAAATTTTTATTTGAGACTCGCCGAACGGCATTGAATTCACAGATAAAAAAGATGTGGGTTCAACTTTCATTTTGGAACAATTTTTCAAGCAAGGGAAGGGAATGATCTGAGCATGCAGGAGGACTGACCCGTCTTAAACCTTTGTCGGCTGTGCTGAAGAGAAAGGTACAGAACCAAATTATTTAATTAGCTGCGTGTTCTCCTGTCCTCCGGGCCACACACACTCACACACACACACTCACACACGGGACTGTTGTCGTTAAGGAGTGTGCACATACAGCATGCGCGCCTCGTGCACAAGCCTACTATTGAAGCTGCCGTTACGCTTTTGGCCTGAGGGGGCAATCGCGAGCATAAAAATTCTAAACTCCGTAAAGTTCCTTTAAATACAGTTTCCAAAGGTCTTAAATTACCAAAGACCCAATAAGAGATTATTTTATTTTATTATTATTTAATTTTTATATTTTTATTATTAAAATTTTATTTCTATAAAATTTTTGTGAATTTCTAGTTAGTGTTCAGCATTTTTTGTGTATCATATTTGCATAAGCGGAACCGTACACACTCAGCTGGTTGTGACAGGGGGCTATTTTTAGATGAGCACATTAGCTGGTTAAGCTAGTGGGAGCTTGCGCCATGGGGAAGTGCAAGTTTAATGGTAACTGGATGGCTAATCCCACGTTTGCGACGTGGTTAGCACCGGTTCCAGGCAATAGCTGGAAATTATCTTAAATTTAAAAAAATTGCTTAAATTTGGTCAAAGTGGCCTTAAAAAAGGTCTTAACTTTGGCTCCCTTAATTCTGCAGATACCCTGTTTTTACCCGTTCCCTCAGAAACTGTGGCAGCTGCACAGGTGACAGGTGTGTTTACCTGGAGGTCACGTGGCTTTTGTTTACGTTGCCCTCTCCGTGCCAGACTTCATCACATAATGTCCTTTTTTATTTCAGACGTGTTTAACCGCATCATCCTGAAATAACAGATGTTCATTCGTTTGGTTCTCATGCTCCGGCAGCTCATCGGCGTTTCCTTCGTCACAGACAGACAGACGGTTTTTAGACAAACACTTATTGTGGGTTTAAGACAGGAGGTGGTGACCCATAATTCATTCTGTCGGGGTGGTTAGGGTTAGGGTTAGGAAGCCTGATCGGGTTAAAGACCTGCTGCTCATTACCGTTGAACTTGTTTTTTGATTGAAGAGCCTTATAAACTTATCTCTTCATAATTCTCCGTCTCTTGTTGTCGTGCAGAGTTTCGGGAGCCTCGCGTGATCGAACTGTGGGAAGCTGCCAAGAGGACCAACCTCAGCGACGACGAGCTGGACTCCCTAAAGGTCAGAGGGCAGTTTGATGGATCGTTAACGGGAGCTTCACAGTGATGTTTTTCCAGGATTGTAAGGTTAAAATGATAAAAGGTGTGCTTCACTGGAAACACCTTTAATGATTTCTGATTCTAACGGGTCACTCCGAGTGTTTCATGCTGGCTGAACATGAAAATAGTCTCCTACACCGATCTCCTGCATCAGCTTCTGATAGAAAAGAGACCAGGAGAGCATGTATCAAGCATGTTTTAATGGTTTCTCTGCTCAAACACTCGATTAAAGCTTCGTTCCGGAGTATTTCTCTTATCTGATGGCACCATCTAGTGGCTGACAAGCGTGTCACACTCCTTCCGTTTTTTAAAGATGGCGACTTCATGTTTCTAGTTATAAATGTGCTACAGTAGCCGACAAACCGCTAAAACACTTTTTATGAGTGTTATGTTGTGTTCTCATATTTATATTTTAGAGACATTCTTGTCTGTGAAAAGTTCATCAACTCTGCATCAGCTGGGGTAGTCCTTAAACTTGGAGCATGTAAGCTGGAGTCTAACGCTATTGGTTAGTTCTGGTTGGCGCTCAGCTCTGTGGGGTGGGGGGCGTGCTTAGTTATATCACACAGTACCTGATGAGATCATCTTTCTACGGATGTTTTGACAAATCAAACGTCATTTCTGAAAGGGGAAAACTCTTCAAGTTGTTGAAACTAAAACCTGCTGGGTACCAGCGCTCCAGGACCGGGGAAACAGACGGTGAAACTCTAGGATAGAAAATCCTGACAGACCTACGTCGCACTGTCGCCAACATTTATGGACTCACGACGGGGAAGGCGGTTGTTGGGTTAGCATCCAGGAAACTGCGTCTCGGCTAGTTAGCATTAGCAACTCCACCACACAGCAGAAGCTCCTCCAGGCTTCACAGTTGTATTGATTAAATCAGTGAATCACACTTTAGTTGTTTTTAACAACATTTAATGTACTGTTTGCCGTCTGTGATGGAGTTGGTAATGAAGAGCAGCTCCAACATGAAGCGTGAAAGTCCTGCTGAGCTTCTCCATCCAGTTTACAGGCATTGAGCTGCTTTCAGGTCAGGTGGATCACAGGGAGGCATTCAGTTTGAATTTTCTCCTCCATTCACCCCTGAAGTGTTTATCTGAACCACTCTGTTAATCCAGGAGGAGCTGCGTCACTTCGAGACCAAGGTGGAGAAGCACAGCCATTACCAGGAGCAGCTGGAGCTGTCCCACCAGAAGCTGAGACACGTGGAGACTTTAGGAGATGAAGAGCATATCAAGAGGAATCAGGAGAAGTACAACACGCTCGCTGAGAAGACCAGAGAGATGGGCTACAAGGTACGGACTAGTAGAAATAGTTTATAGCATGATGTTTTGGAGAAGAGGATGCTTGTATATAAACAATGTTTAAATATCGGTTTTTGGGAGCAACCATGTTTGTTTGATTGCAGATGAAGAAGCATCTGCAGGACCTGTCCCAGAAGATCTCCCGTCAGGGTCTCCAACACAACGAGCTCTGAGCCTCGACCCCTGATCCCACAGAGGTGGAGTTTTTCTACTGCTGGAACAAAGAAATCCTTTTAGTGTAAAAATCATTCTGGGTTCATTATAAAAGACTTTAATCACAAACTTAATGAGCAGGAAGAGGCGACCGGACGGCAGCTAGGTTCGATAAAGTAGATGATGTTTCCTCCCGGGACCATGGACCTCCTCTGTTCCAAGATGTCAGAACTGGAGTGTGAAAGTCTAACATTTGCATTCATCAGTCGCCGTCACCTTGGCGACCAGAAACATCCTGCTTGAGCCGCCATGTTTACACCAGAGCTCTGATGTGGAATGATGGCACGGCGGCGTAAGTGTCACTGAAACACCAAATCTTCTGAAAGTGGAATGGATTCATGGTGGGGGGCGTGTCCATGAGTACACTCTGAAGTCAGCTGTTGCAGGGTCAGCTCAGTGGCCGCCTGTCCTTCCTGCCCCCAACAGGCTCCGCCCACACTCTCTGCGCTGTTACCATGGCAGCCATGTCGAGGTGGGCGTACCTGATGGCATCTTCTGCTGGAGGAGACGGGTTTTTGTCAGCCTGATTCAACATGTAATAAAAGTTTTATAAAAGTGAAAGATGCATTTAAGTGTTATGAAACAAATTAAACTAAATCTTGAACATTTATCGACGTTTAATTATTAAACCATTAAAAGGCCTTAAATTATCTTAATGTCCGTGTTTTCTAATTCTGACCCAGCAGGGTTAATGACATTTGCCGACGGAGAAAAATGAATATACTTTAAAACAAATTCAACTCTAGTCCTCTTACTGGGTTTGCGGAGCTGCAGGGATCCTCCGTGAGAGCAGCTGGGCGTCGGAGCGGAGTCGTGCCTGTGCAGCTTCCTCTCTGAAGCTTTTGGGATGTTCTCATAATCGACACGAGGCCCAGAGGGCGGAAACGGACCAGCTTCCTGGGGCGGCGCTAACTTGGCTGCAGAAGGAACAAGAATCCTTGTTACTGTAAAACATTTCAGAATAAAACATTCAGCTGTCTTATTATTTATTTATTTACCACAGGCTGAAGTTGGCCCGGGGGCGCACGGCGGAGGAGGAGAGAGGAGCATCCTCAGAGCTTTTAGTTCACAAACATCCTCAAGTTTCTCCTTTTCGCAGCATTTAGGACCTGCTGACAGAAGCTTTTCTTATTTAAAATGTAGGAACTTTGAGATTATTTGTCATGGATTTGCAAACATTTCAGGTAGAAAACGACATTTTTTTATTGTAATTTCATAAAAAACCTGGTGTCGATGCAGTGGAGTTGGGAGGAAAGTTTGTGAAGAACAAGGTTTGAACCTAGAAAATAAAAACAGAATTTTAATACTTTTATTTTAAAGCATTAATGATTTTACGAATTAGGCACACATTTATGTTGCAGATCAATTGAAAAAGACCAATAACACACACACACACTATTGAATGGTCCTACACTATTTTTGAGCTGCACAGATTCTGGTTTTGAGAGCTGATGCAGATTTTCTCCAGCCACACTGACCTGACCCGCCTGTAGCTATTTTCACCAATTCTGCTTCATCTAAATGTATATATATATATATATATATAATCTATATATATATAGATATATAATCTCTATCACGCTCATATATATTATATATATATATATATAATGTCTATCACTCATATATATTATATATAATCTCTATCACTCATATATAATATATATATATTATATATATATATATATATATATATATATATATATATATATATATATATATATATATATATATAAAATCCCAAAATACTTAAAGGAGCAACAAGTAAGAATTTTACAACGAAATAATCAAAAACTGATGTCTCAGTCATGTTCGAAGGAAGTTCTACTGAAACAGATCTAATTCTCAGCTGTCTGGGGGGGTTGTCAGTTTTCCTGTTTAAAAAAACAAACAAAAGGGATGCAGCTACAGTTTTTGAGGTTGCCATGTCTCCTGCGAGCTAATGCAGCAGAAAAAGTCCCAGAGTTGTTTAGAGAACCAAAGCCAGTGAACAGGAGCGACCCAGGAGTTACTTCTTGTATCCCTAAAAAGCTCCGGCATCTTTGTTTTTACTCTAATATCAGGTGAAGCTTGCTAGAGGCTAACACTGAGCTAACAATGCTAATGGTGAATTACAAATATATGTTCCAAAAGGGTTCAGATGAAGGCGAATGGACTTCTTTGGTTTCTTGAATACGTCTCAAGAAACCAAAGAAGTCCAGCTGCCTTCATTTGAACACTTTTGGATTACCGTGACCTGGATGACCGAGAACCTTCACCAGACTAAAAATATCTCTGGGTAGTTTTTCAATTACCAACAACTGGATGTGTGTGTGTGTGTGTGTGTGTGTGGGTGTGTGTGTGTGTGTGTGTGTGTGTGTGTGTGTGTGTGTGTGTGTGTGTGTGTGTGTGTGTGTGTGTGTGTGTGTGACGTGAATGATGTTCAGACCTATGCAAGACGGCCAACAATCACACATCCTAGTTCAGACATATTACCGTAATAATTATAGTAAATGCTCCCTACCATATACACCCAAGAGTGCTAGCTCCAGATGCTGTCGGCCATCTAGAGTCTCCTGGCGCTGATTCGTAACCAACGGGGGAACGGGAGTGAGGAAGCTACTTTTTGTTAATAAAATGGTCTCCAGTAACCGAATTTGATCACAGGATATCACTCTTGCATTGATTTGGAAGATCTTGACTTAGGAACAAAAAGATTTTCCGGTTAGCCCGAATGAACCCTCAGTAATGGTGAGCTTACGAACCAGCTGCAAAAATCTGATTTTTGAGTTTCAGACCTGCTGATCCCAGATGAAGCCATCTGAGTTTTGATGCCTCTAGTATATTTTCTACCCTCACAAACATCTCATCATATGTGTGATGTCGACACTGATCTGGTGTCAGAGCTGATGTCGCTGAGCAGGAAAACAACCTTCCTAAAGGTTTCCACAGCAACATTTACCTGGTAAACCAGAGTGGCTTCACACTCACTGTCTCTGCAGGTCTGACGTCTTCAGAGGTGGCAGACATGAGACAAGAGGTGGATCTGAGCTGAGAAATCTGGCAGGAAGCCAATTTATCCATTTGCGCTCCACACAGCTGCTAATAACCAGCCAGCTGGGGGCCGAGCGACTCACACAGTTCATCTCCGCTGACGTGGCGCCGCTCCTGGAGTCGGCTTCGGTTTCTGTGGATTAAACCGCAGACACCCGAGGAACGATGAGGAAAACTCATCTAAGTGTCATGGTGCCGGACGCTCCTCTCTGAGGGTTTCATCACTGCTCGTTCACCTCGTCACCTTTGGCTCCCTCATGCTGCCCCCCCTCACACACACACACACTCCAGGAGACATGCCAGCTCGTCTCCTCTCTGATGAGGATTTTCCCACCACGACAGAAAACGAAACACCATGTGACTCGGGGTGAGGTCTTCAGAAAGCTTCTCAGGTTTCAGACAAACATGTCAGAGAAAACAACAGCGGCTCCTTGGCAGGCTTCTGATGGATGTCTGGAGTCATTACTGGATCCAATGCCAGTTTGGGCTACCTGGCAGTGTCCAAACCCCCCCACCCCCCACCCCCCACTCCCAGTCTTCAGCCAAGACTGAGAACATCAACAAGCCGCAGCATCAGTTCAGTAAGCTGGAGTCCAACATTCAAGCCATAATAAAAGAACCGTAACGTACCCTGAAACAGGCAGCCAGCGAACGCACCGCGCTCAAGGTCGCACGGAGAGACTCAACAACTTGGTGTTAGCAGCGGAATCACGCAGGTGGGAGTTTAACTTGCCACCGCAGAGATCAGTAGAGACCCACATGGCAGCACAGAAGGATGTAAAAGGTTCTGTCCTCAGAACTCAGCCGGGAGCATCTCTGCAGATTTTCTTTGCTCTGGACAACATCTGTCCTGTCAGAACCAGATCAGTTCCTGCAGTGAACCCTACTCCCTGGTTTAATGACGGCCTTCGCAGCCTGAAGCGCCAGTGCAGAAAAATTGAGCGCTTGTGGAAGAAAACCCATCTCCACGTCCATCTTCTGCACCTAAAGGATCTTCTGACATCCTTTAACTCTGCAGTCAGAGACGCTAGGGTTTCCTATTTCTCCAACCTGGTGTCCCAGAGCAAAGGGAACCCCAAGGTGCTGTTTAACACCATCAGCAGCATCGTCTCTCCTGCCTCTCCTACAGCCTCCATCCACTCTGTTACAGACTGTGAGAACTTTCTGTCTTTCTTTGTGGACAAAGTCAATAAGGTCAGATCTAGCATCTCTCCTTCAGCCTTATCGCTGCCTCTGCCGACTCCAACCAGGCCCATCATCCTAGATAGCTTTGCTCCTGTTTCTTTGCCTGAGTTAACCAAACTAGTTAACTCTATGAAGACCTCTGCATGCTCCCTCCACATTTTACCCTACACTGACCTAATCTAACCCTTTATGCAGATGACATCCAACTGTACATCTCCTTTAAGCCCCATGAGATGTCTAAGCTGCAGCTGTTACACACCTGCTTAGACTCTATCAAAACCTAGATGGTGGGAGCTTTCTTCAGCTGAATGAAGATAAGACTCAGATCCTCATCCATGCCCCAGACAAGCTGGTTCCCAAAGTCAGAGGCTCTCTTGGTCAGCTTGCTTCTCACACCAAACCTTCTGTCAGGAATCTTGGCGTGACCTTTGACCCAGCTCTCACCCTGGATTCTCATGTCAGTTCTCTTGTTCGCTCTTCCTTCTTCCATCTCAGGAACGTTGCTAAGCTGAGTCCCATTCTGTCCCGCTCTGAACTTGAGACAGTTCTCCACACCTTCATCTCCTCACGCTTAGACTACTGTAACTCTCTTTCCACGTGTCTGAGCAGAACCTCCCTGAACCGTCTACAGGTGGTTCAGAACGCCTGTGCTCGGCTTCTGACCAAGTCCTCCAAACACACCCACATCACCCCGCTTCTCCTCCAGCTTCACTGGCTGCCAGTCAACTTCAGGGTTCATTTCAAGATCCTGGTTCTGGTCTATAGGGCCTTACATGGACAAGCACCATCTTACATTGGTGATCTTCTTAGTCCCTACACCCCCAGCAGGTCCCTGAGGTCCAGTGATCAAAGCCTACTGGTTGTGCAGCACCAGGCTAAAGGTCAAAGGTGACAGATCATCTGCTGCTGTGGCCCCCAGACTCTGGACCTCTCTCCCCCTGAGCCTGAGATCAGTGGACTCAGTGGTCTCCTTTAGCAGCTGAAGACTCACTTGTTCAAGCTGGCTTTTGTATGACCTTCTTCACCTCTCTCTCTTTATTCTGCTCTCCCCACCTATTCCACCTTCCTCGGGATCCACTGATTTCCCTCTTTCCTGTTCACTCTCTCTTTCTTTACATTTTTTCTTTTCAATCCCAATTGCCTATTTTTGCTCATTTTAAATATATTTTTAAACATTTTCCAAGTAATTTTTCATATTTTTACATTTTTTTGTTTTGTGAAGCGCCTCGTGATTTTTATCTTGAGAGGCGCTATAGAAATGATATTTTCTTCTTCTTCTTCTTCTTTATTCATTTACTAGTAAATAAAAACATCTAAAAAGGTTCTGTCCTCAGAACCCAGCCAGGAGCATCTCTGCAGATCTTCTATATTCGTTTACTAATAAATAAAAACATCTAAAACTGTCAAGCTGCACGTCACGGAGCTCATTTTGTCTCTTTCTGTCAGTAACTGGAACAAAAACAAATCTAAGTGTGTTTCAGAAAGAGGATCGGAGACATGTGACGACCTGTGTTTGTTTGTAGGCGGGGCTTCCAGGGACTGGGTCGGGTCTGGGTGTGGACATCTGGTCAGCGTCCCCAGAGGGAGTCTTCTCACTGCCCCAGGAGAGAGAGCGCTGTATTGCTCCCAGATGTTCAGCCTTCACTCCCCTGCAGATCATCTGTTCCTGACCACCTCCTCTGGGTCTGCTGCTCGGATCGGACGGGGCTCCCCGAGGAGACGGTCCCCTGAGGGACAGGGCCTGAAGAAGGCTCCTGGGAGTGTCATACCACCGTCGGAGCAGGCTGGGGATCTGGTACTCCTGGCTGTGTCTACTAGATGCTCGGGAAGCACCTCTGGAAGGGTGGGGCTGTGAGGAGGATACAGGTGATGACGGGGGGCTCCGAGGGGGAGCAGAGGGAGGTGAACAGGGAAGGTCAGGAGGAGCAGCCAGACTGACCACTGAGCCAAAACCCTCCCGTCCTCCCGGAGTGGCCATGTCCAGACTCCCAGTGCAGGAAGAATAACTCCCAGAGTGAGACGACTGGCTGCCCGTAGCGATCCCGATCCCACTGTCCAGTGAGCTCTGCCTCCCGCTGTCATGGAGGCCTCGAGGAAGGAGCTGGGCGGAGGACGGGCGACTCCTGGAGCCGCCCATCACAGAACCATAGAGCCGGTCGTCTGATCGGGTCAGAGCCTTCAGGGCGGAGGAGCTGGCCGCCGTCTCCATGGAGGGGCGAAGGCTGGCCGACGGCTCCACCCAAAACGGAAATCTGCTCCCAAAGCTGGAGTTGGACTGGCTGGACGAGGAGCTGGAGATGCTGCGGTTGTCCTCGGCAACAGAGGTGCTGCAGCTGTAGGTGGAGGCTGGAGAGGAGGAGAGTAAAGTGATCAGTCTTTTAGGTTGACGGTTTCAAAACCTCAGTTTCTGCAAAGTCTGAGTCTGGGAGGCGTGATTCACGGGACCTCTGACCTCAGCGTCATGCGTCTGACTCAGACTGATGTCATAAACCGTCTCTGAAGGTCAGAGATGTGATTCCTCAGCACCAGGAGCAAACTTCTGATGACATCATCTCCAGTTGAAGCTAAACCACTAAAAGCAACAAAGTGAGGAGTTATTTTTACCCGAGATGCTCGCCAGGCTGCAGCTAGACAACAAGCTGAGTCTTTTCTCCAGCTCTGTGGTCTCCTGGCTGATCCGTTCTTCTGCCGACGCATCAGGACCTCCTGTTTGTAGGAAAAACAGAAGCCGAAGGAACGATGGTGGTTTTGTGTTTTAACACTAAAAACTCAGCTGATTTATTAACAGATGATTAGCTTGAATACAGTTATCCAACTTTTCTTCATGATCTTCTGCCTGGAACACGACTGGAAGCTTCAATTCAAGGAGGTCAGTGATGTCAAAAGTGTAAAAACCACATAAAGATTGGTTTTGCTTATTTATCTCTGATGGACCTGTGCCTCAGCCTCGGTTTTCCATGTCTCGTTACCATAGCAACACTTATCTTAAGACCTAAATCAGCTTAAAGAGCAAGTCACCCCCAAATCAACTTTTTTTTCTGATAAACTATATAAATGTGTGTCTAATCGTGCTGCAGACACGTGTAGTCAATAGTTTTGCACTTTAGTGCATTTTAGTTCAAATTTTAATTTTCTGCCTAAAACTGTCAGTGTTGTGCCGTTGTCAGATAAAAACTCTGCACTGCATTTGAATTTTAATCTGCCATCGCTATTGGCTAAGAGGTACCCTAGAACGTTAGCTGGTACCATATGATGTCACAATGTTGTTGTGAGCCTGTGTGTGTGTGTATTTGTTAGCAGCTCCGCCCTCTCGGTCTGCTAGGCAACAGCATTTGTTGCATTTTTCAAACAGGAAGTGGGAGTGGAGTAATACTCTGGTAGGGGGTGACTTGCTCTTTGTCATGAATAAAGCTTAGAAAGAAGAAAAATCACAAATATACTCGAGGATTCTAAGTAATGCTTTTTTAACGCTGAAAACTAAAAATGGAACGTCAAACATTCCCACCAGGAAGTTGTTTCACAACCACCGCTGATTTAGTCATTCTTCCATGCACTTTTCACCAATCACCAGCATTTCTGCAAAACTGACCAATCACTGCTACCCGTTCCCCCTACTGGGGAGAAAGCAGAGTTACAACCTTACAAAATGCAACAAATGCTGTTGCCTTTGGGCTGCATGGTGGCACAGTGGTTAGCACTGTTGCCTCGCAGCACGAAGGTTGCAGGTTCGAAACTCGGCTGCGTGGAGTTGCGTGTTCTCCCCATGCATGCGTGGGTTTCCTCCGGGTACTCCGGTTCCCCCACAGATCACAACACGCCCTATAGGTTATAAATTGTAAGTCGCTTTGGATAAAAGCGTCTGCCAAAAAAATAAACATAAACATAACAAACAACCTGCCTCGGGCTTTGCAGACATACTTGTCGTCAGTGACACCGTTTCTGCATGTTTTTATGATTATTGGTGGTTCAGAAACAAAATAATGAAGACTTTGCTAGTTTTTAGATGGTTTGAATCTGAAACAAGTGTAGGTCGCGCCTTTGCTTCGCCTACAGAGACATTACTCTCTAACCTCTAACCTTTCTATGCCGTATAGAAGGTAGAGACCTCTCTAGCTTTTCTGCAGCTTCTGGCCAGCTCAGCTCTGTCCCATGTGAAGCTGTGCATGTCTGTAGCTCAACAACCACGGAAACCAGTTTGAAAGCAGTAGCTTAAAAACTCTTGAAGCCAAGTTTATGTTTCTGCGTCAGCTCCGCGAGTGAGAGACGCACACGTGTTGACGGACATTTTGCTCTCGGACGTCTCCGTCTCCTGGGGTGCTTTGCAAAGCAATTCCCCACCAGGCCAGCAGAGGGCGTAGCGCTGTCCTGTCATGTTTAGATTGTATTTTGTTCTCTTCTGTCTCTAAATTAACGTTTCCCGTCGTTTCCATCAACGAATAAAGAAGATATTTTCTACAGCGCCTCTCAAGACAAAATCACTAGGCGTTTCACAAAAACTAAAATTTTTAAGTATAAAATGATTTTAAAAATGGTTAAAAATATGTTTAAAAGGAGAAAATAAAATAATGTAAAGACAAGGAGGGAGAAAATGAACAGGAAAGAGGGAAATCAGTGGATCCCGGGAACAGAGCAACGTGTAATCCTTGTAGGTTTGTGAAGAGTGCGGTTCTACCTGCACTAGAACATTCCCGACTCTCCACTCGGCCACGCCCAGATTCCTCAACAAGCTGAGGGACGGCCTGGAGTTATTTTTGTGTTTAGAGTAACTAAAAAAGCTCCTGAGCACATCTGTTACAGGTAAGCAAATGTCTTCTTGAACTTTACAAACAATTTCTATAAAATCTTTCTTTGCAAATTTGAGATGTTCGGCCAGATTTTGCCGATTCAGTGAGGAGAGTTGATGCTAACGTGGAAATCTTTAGCAGTTTGACCGTTTCTCAGGACTCCGTGTGTGTATTTGTATTTTGGGTGTTGTTTTAAGAAAGTAATGTGTGTGTGTGTGTGTGTGTGTGTGTGTGGCTCCGGGACTGCAGCTATGCGAAGTGCCGGCTAACATTGTAAATTGGGAATAGACAAAATTTTTAATGATGACCATAAAAACACTTCAGTGTTTGTAAATGTAAACAAGTATATTTCACATGTTGCATGTGAACCCGCTGCAGCCTGATCAACACGACGCTGCGTCTGCGTCCTCGTGGAGCTGCACGTTTCTCTCCCCAGCTGCTCCTGAAACAGCAGCGTGACCTCCTAATCTGTAGGGTGACCCGGCAGCATGTCGTTTCCGTTAGCATGTTGTAGGTCACATACGAGCACTAAACACGTCGTAAACTCTCATTATGGGAGCTACACCCATAGAGGGCGAAGGACGGCAAACCTTATCACGCCTATTTTTTATATTTTCGATGGAAATGTCCAGAAAACAAAACGTCCATAAGCTGGCTTCACGGAGAACCGTTCCATTTGCTCTGGCTTGTGAAAGCAGGGAACAGAATTTGACCAAAACTGGGAATGATCACCTGGAAAACGCTGGGATCGATGTGGAAAATAATAAAGCTGTTTGGACCTCAAGCAGACTTCCTAGAAATGGTTTCAAAGTCAAATGTGTCACAGAAAGTGGAGCTTTGAGTGTTTAAACTGGCTTTCACACAATCATCATTTATTTAATGATCTTGTGCCGTTTTCCACCAACTTGGTAAATTTAACACACGCCTCATCCTCCTCCCACCAACGTCACTTTAAAAGGACCTCCGGCTATGAGGACGTGTGTGCCCGACTAAGCCGCAAGTTTTCTGTTGTACCAAACTATGTCGTTAGAAACACACAAAATATTGCTGTTTATTTATAAATCTGTAATATTTAGTACATTTTCGGACATAAGTAGGACGCCATGTTTTCCGCACCAATGCACTCTGGGGGCGATGACGTATATTGGTTGCACTTGGAGGAATAGCTATTGACGCCAGTGTTTGTTTATGTGCTCACCGTATTAACAATGAAGTAAAATGCCGCCTTGTGCTGCTTTTGGATGTAATTTCCAGTCAGAGGGCAACAAGGGGAGTGATGTGAGTTTACAGCTTTCCCACTGGCAAGAAGAGGAGAAAGAAGTGGGAAGATGCCTGTGGACGGACACAACTTCCCAAAGATCCGCGGCTGTGTTCCCAACATTTTTCTCCTGATGCGTTTGAGGCTTATAGTCGACCACAACGACTTAAAGAGCACACCAGAGCGGCTGGGTGTAAGAGGAGGCAGAAACTAAATGCTTTAGCGACCATTTTCCCACACAAGGAGCCTAAACGCCCTTGGAGAGACGAGAGACGCTGGACGCTCTCCTGAGCCGACAACCCGCTCCTGCAGCCGCCGCTTCTGTCACGTTCAGCCAACCATCGGACACGCCGCTCGTCACGGATGAAGCTGAACGTTCACCTCTCCCGTCAGTAGAACAAGCAGAAAGTGTAGCAACAGTGTTCTTCACATATATAATATCTGCAACAATGATTAAAGTCGTTTCACAGAATATCCTAATCAGCTATGAAGCACACGAAAGCTCTGGATGCTAATATTCTCTCGGTTACCATGGAGACGCATTTGCCGCACACGCACCAGCGGTTTTGTCCTGCTCTCGCTTCATCCCGCCCTTCTTGCTCTTCATGTTGACGCTCGTTTTGTGAAACATGGTCAGTGATGTCATCATTAATGTTTCGCTCTGGTTCAAAGTGAAAAGGCTGAACAGATGACATGTTGATGTCGCTGAACAGTCCCCACAGGTGCAACCGAGGTACAACCATGTGCAGTGTTGGGCAAGTCACTTCAAAACTGTAATACATTATTTATTACTTGTTACCCTCATTTTAAAGTCATTCATTACATTACAATATTAATGATTTTAAAATGTAAGGCATTACACTACTTTTGCATTACTCTAAGTTACTTTCAACAAAACAACTTCAGTATGAGTTTGGTAATCTGATGCCTGGTGAACTCATGACACATCCGGTGGAAGGTGATGTGGTGTCTGAGCTAGGACTGCTGTTAAAAACAGTTCTTTAGAAGGATTGTTTATTAAATAAAAGCAACAACAATCTGTACTCTCAGCACGCTGCCATCTTAGATTAACTGAGCGGCGAGTGAGGTTTTGGGGGCTCCAAGCCTATATTTGCCTTGGTCCCCAAATGTCTTGATACGGCCCTGGATGTGGGACTGACTTCTGGGGTGATCTGATTCTATCACATGTATAAATATTAAATGTTTATGTATTATTGCTTTTCACTGGTAAAATGAGTATTGGGGATAAATCTACCTACTTTTTTCTTTTCAAGCACTTTGTTTTGTTTTCTTGATTTTATGTGAATAATTTCCGGCCCTTTCTCTCTCTAACCTTCCTGCATGCTGCATGTTTTCTCAGTCTTCCAGAAAACCCGTTTCCTAGACTTCCTACTTTCTAACTAATCAGCCAAAGGGATCTTCACATGTGCGGCGCTCCAGCAGCAATGAGTTGAAATCACCGGAGCCCAGATTAACTCAGCTGAGGCAAAGCACGTCAGAAAAGCACAGAATACCAGAGAACATGCGCTGATGTGAACGATCGCAGGTGAATTATTTTGTTTTAGTGGAGCGATTTTGTGAATGTTACAGCGGCCGCGCGCATGATGCAGTTGAGCCGTTACCGCGGCGTCCTCTCTGCCCGCAAAGCTGAGTCCATAAATGATGTCATATATGCAGAAACTGGAACTTTTTTCGGGTTTCCCGCAATTAGAATTTTTAAGAAACGCAGCTCGATTCTGGGTTTAAAAATGCATCGTAATTACCGCGTTACTGACAATTGTACCGAGTAAATATTACCATCTTCTTTCCCTGTAATGCCTTACATTACCACATTACAGCAAAAAGCAATGCATTACAGTAATTAATTACTTTTGTACCGCGTTACTCCCAACACTGACCATGTGACATCACTACCCAGAGTGCATTGCAACGCTAACAACAATGGCGATCTACGAGTTAAACTAAGAAGGTTTTTTACACCATTTTAATATAACTGATACTAACATTTATCTTTTAAGAACTACAAAGTTTTGTAACCTGGGTTCCTTTTAACATCTGCCGTCAACCAGAGGACGGGTGATGTTAGTAAAGATAAAGGAACAGTGCCAGATTTTCACCATGTCATTCATACACTTAGAAACGTCAACGTTCCAAACTAAATATTTAGTTAGAAAGTGAATTATTCCCCTGGGAGCAAAATGTTTAATTTCTAAACAAAAATTATATTTAAACTAAATATTTATTTGTTATTAAAAATGTAATGTTTATTTAATAAATGAGTCCAAGTGAAATATTTACTTTTGGATGAGTGACAGGGTGAAACGATGATGGGGTCATACTGGTTTCACTGGAATTACAGGCAGGACTTTTCCTGTTTACGTGAGAACAGGTGTGCTCACCTGGCTGGCTGGGTCGAAGGCCACACAGGGTGCTGCTGGAGGAGACCCCGCCCACAACGCAGTCAATCAGGAAACTGATCTGCTCTCCTTCTGAGCAGGACAGGAAGTAAACCCCAGCCCCTGAAGGACAGAAGAAACAGATGGATGACACGATGGGCGACCAGAAAACAAGAGCTGCTGGAACGAGTGAAGAAATGTGAAAAAACGTCGAGTAAAAGTTCCTTTCCTTAAGAGGGCCGACTGATTCACTGACGTTCAAAACCCGAGGACTCTGAGTCTTTCTTCTAGAAGTTATGTCTCCGTCTCTCTCCACCGCCCACAGCGGAGCGCCAGAATAAAACAAGAAATAAAACGACGAGTAAGAAAGTCTCACACCAGGGAGACAAACTAACTTCACACAGTTGTTTATAATAGTCTGAAAAAGGAACGTTTATTATGTGCAATAAAAATCACAGCCAGTCCAAATGTCATTAAAGGTTCATTTGAGGGGATAAAATGATGCTTCCAGAACTCCAGCGGTCCTCTAAAGTGTTGGGAGTAACGCGGTACAAAAGTAATTAATTACTGTAATGCATTGCTTTTTGCTGTAATGTGGTAATGTAAGGCATTACAGGGAAAGAAAATGGTAATATTTACTTCGTACAGTTGTAAGTAACGCAGTAATTACAACGCATTTTTAAACCCAGAATCAAGATGTGGGTTTCCTAAAAAGTCAAATAGCGGGAAGCCTGAAAAAAGATCCAGTATCCACATATATGACGTCATTTATGGACTCAGCTTTGCAGGCATTCTATGAGCAGAGAGCACGCAGCGGTAACGGCTCAAATACTCCAGCTGCGTCCTGCGCGCGGCCGCTGTTATATTCACAAAACCGCTCCACCAAAACAAAGTCATTCGTTTACGATCGTTTATATCAGCCCATATTCTCTGGTACTTCATGTACTTTTCAGCTGAGTTCATAATCTGTGCCCCGGTGATTTCAACTCATTGCTGCTGGAGCGTAGCGCATTTTAAGCTGTTTTAGCGTTCGGTGGATCCCTTTGGCTGATTAGTTAGAAAGTAGGAAATCTAGGAAACAGTTTTTCTGGAAGACGGAGAAAACATGCAGCATGCAGGAAGGTTAGAGAGAGAAAGGGCCGGAAATTATTCACATAAAATCAAGAAAACAAAACAAAGTGCTTGAAAAGAAAAAAGTAGGTAGATTTATCCCCAACACACATGTTTACCAGTGAAAAGCAATAACATATAAGCATTTAATATTTATACATGTGATAGAATCAGATCACCCCAGAAGTCAGTCCCACATCCAGGGCCGTATCAAGGCATTTGGGGACCAAGGCAAATATAGGCTTGGAGCCCCCACCACCTCACTCCCTGCTCAGTTAATCTAAGATGGCAGCGTGCTGAGAGTACAGATTGTTGTTGCTTTTATTTAATAAACAATCATTTTAAAGCACTGTTATTATATCTGACTGTTTTTATCAGCAATCCTAGCTCAGACACCACGTCACCTTCCACATATATGTCGGACTCTCCTCCTCCATTGGGGTTTTTAAGTCTCACTTAAAGACACTTTTATTCCCTTGCTTTTACTGCCTAGCTATTTTATCAATGGTTTATTTACACTGTTCTTTTACCGATTTTATTGACTTCTCTTGTTTGGTTTTTTGTGCTATGCTCTAGCTGTTTTATTCTTTTATATTATTATTTAACCTTATATGTTTTTACCCTACTTTGGTCAGCTCACCTGCTGTTTTTAAATGTGCTCTATCAAATAAATGGAATGGAAGGAGCTCACTGAGCGTCAGAGATTACCAGATTCATACTGAAGTTGTTTTGGTGAAAGTAACTTAAAGTAATGCAAAAAGTAGTGTAATGCCTTACATTTTAAAATCAGTAATATTGTAATGTAATGAATGACTTTAAAATGAGGGTAACAAGTAATAAATAATGCATTACGGTTTTAAAGTAACTTGCCCAACACTGGTCCTCTAACCCTAACCCTCTACGACGTAAACCAACACGCGTGTCTTAAAGACGGCTCCTAACCTCCGTGGGTCATTCACACGTTCCTATCCGAGCTGCTCTGTCGGATCTCCGATCTAAATATAAAACACACGAGTGAAACATTCTCACACAGGAAGTTTGTATATTTATACCCGAGTGCCAGCTTAGTGTGAGAGCTGCAAACGACTTTTATCTGTGACAGAGAGTCGGATGGCTGTCCGAACGTGTCACCGAGTCAGTCGTGTCACAGAGAGTATGACACGGTAAGTTCAAACTGCAGCTAATTTTCTGATTCTAGCGGTAGAATAAAGCGGTGAGAGGCTTCCTTCCTGGCTGCAGGAGCAAATAACGCTCCAGGAGGGAGGAAGCTGCTGCTAAAGCAACAGGGAGAGTTAAAAATGCTAATAAAGAACTGTTATTCTCTCGATTTCTGCAGGTTTGCATCAGTGGTTTAATATTCTGAATAATTTATGATAATTAACGATGAAAAATGTGTTGTAGAACTGCTGGATGGAGATCGATGAAGATGGGAAGCGTGGGTTAAAGCTGAGATATGCTGAGCAGTTCTGGGTTCATATTTCATAACTTCCATCTCGAGTTACACCTGCTCACTTAATACGAGTCTTATACTGCTTTACAGTCATGAACAGACCGACTCGGAGACGCTGCCCCTGTGCCTGCTGGGTAATACGCTGATGACAGGAAGAAGGACCCCTGCGGTCGTACATGAAGCCACCAGGCTCGCTGTGATTGGCCGAGTGTCCGTTTCTGGTATTTATAGACAAACTCCCATGAGAGCATTGTAACCAGAGACTGAAAACCGGCCGGCTGTTCCTGCTCTCGCTCACACGAGCTCTCTTTGGGAAAGAGATGGGAACTTGGGTAAAACTGATCAGCTGTTAGCAGCAGAGCGTTAACCTTGGTCTCCACCCAAAAGCACGGAGCTGCTCGTCATTCTTCACATTCATCTGCTCCAGATGGTCCCTCCACCCTGGTGGATGCGTGAATGATGTTGCAGTAAATCCGGGTTCATTTTGGTCTGTTTGTGTTGGAGTGGCAGCTCTGAGAGCTCTAAAGAGACGATTAAAACCAGCATTTATTTTGACCACAGCGAAGCAGTGCGCTTAAAGAGCAAGTCACCCCCAAATCAACTTTTTTTCCTCATAAACTATCTAAATGTGTTTCTAATCGTGCTGCAGACACGTGTAGTCAATAGTTTTGCACTTTAGTGCATTTTAGTTAAAATCTTCTGCCTAAAACTGTCAGTGTTGTGCCGTTGTCAGGTAAAAACTCTGCACTGCATTTGAATTTAAATCTGCCATCGCTATTGGCTAAGAGGTACCCTAGAACGTTAGCTGGTACCATATGATGTCACAATGTCGCTGTGAGCCTGTGTGTGTGTATTTGTTAGAGGCTCCGCCCTCTCGGTCTGCTAGGCAACAGCATTTGTTGCATTTTTCAAACAGGAAGTGGGAGTTGAGTAATACTCTGGTAGAGGGTGACTTGCTCTTTAAAGCTGCAATAGCATATTAGTTTTAAACATTTTTATCGTGCCTGCTAACGTTCTAACGGCACGGCTGTAAAATATGTTGTGGAAAAAATATTGTCTATAAACCGAAATAACTCGACTCGGTTCGAAACCGACCATGTGACCGAACCGCCGCACTCCCCTGGCTCCTCCACTCATCACGCTCACGTGTTCGGCACCAGAACACTGGTGTGAGAGGTTCTCCGCTCAGTGACATCAGAGGAGGAGAAACAGCCGGCTGCTACCACTTCAGCTTTAGGACAAACTACCAGAGTCCCAAAAAGTAAAGCACCATCTAAAGTCACGCTCAGTTGAGACGAGTGGGATGAGAACGGTGGAAACATAAAATGACGTCGACGTCATGTTATTCTTGGTGCAGGACTCCGCCTCTTTTTGAGGAAGAAACTCGATGCAGGAAGTTAAAAGTTAAAAGAGCCTGGCTGCCAGCTGTTCATTTGGGTTCAGCCGGGCGCCTGACTGTGACACTACATTACGTGCACATCACCAGGCCAATCAGAGGCTCCCACTATGTAGGTAGGCGTGACTAGGGCTGGGCATCGATTGAATCTGAACGATTCCGGTTCCTATCGATTCCCGATTCCGAAGTTTTAAGTGAGCCAGCTGAACACAGGTCTTACCTGATGAAATAATCTGAACTTCAACATAATTTTTTTATTCTATGAACAATAACGTCACCTTCATTTAGACTGAAAAGGTTTCTGACCACAACCAAACTCTGGGAACTGAAGAAGGCTCTGGGATGAGAGGCTAAACGTCTCCAACACAACCAGAGACGTCCCGCTGCTTTCAGCTAAAACTCAGGATGATCGCGTCCGGGACGTCTACCTGCCGCAGCAGCGACTCCGTCAGAAGGTAGCTGCTGTTAGTAACAAACCAACAGATTTAAAACGGTAAAACTCTGTTATAAATAGCTGTGAGATTTTTTATTATTATATTTATTTATTTATGATCCCCATCGGCTCCTAGTGGCAGAACCCGGTGTGGTCCGCTGACAAAGGCTGATCTAGAATAATTATTTCCCAGCCTTCTGACGCTCACACAGATGAGTGTTGGTGAGTGGCTGCGTTTGATCGTTTTTATTTCTGCAGTGAGACAAACTCAAGGGTGCCCCCAAGGGGTGGCCAGAGGTGGCCATGGCCACCCCTAGAAAATTGCTGGCACCCCCCAGGAAAACCCAGTGTTAACAAATCCTATTAATGTTCAATCAAACCATAAATTAATCTTGTTTGTTCAAGACATTATTGTAAAACTAAATGATATTAGAATTAATGAGTAAAGAAATAATCAGAATAAAAAAATATACATACGTTTCTGCTGCTCACCATTTTTAAAAAGTTTTTATCTCCACAGTTTTTTTGTGCGAACACAGCAACAGGTGAGTTCACATAAAAAAAATTGAAATTTAATTTGGAATAACATTTTAAATAAATGAAATGTATTTTTCTAAAATGTTTGTGTCTGTAAAATGTAAGTTAAATGTTTTGGATACGTACTTTATTTCAATAAAAATTAATAAAGGAGCAATGCAGCACATCGCCACAGACTAAACTCTCCCAGAGTTACCACAAGGACCAATTTGGTGTACCACCCCAAAAATGTCTTTGGCCCCATCTGGCCACCCCTATCTAAATTTTCTGGAGGCGCCCCTGGACAAATTCACTTCACACCACCCGGAGTTTGTTTTTTAAACTTCTATTAAATCCACCACGTTGGCACATTTTAGCGAGGCATACGGACATGATGCTGCTCTCAGAGTCTCTGTGGGCTGCAGAGACGCAGCGGCAGACAGCTGGTGTGATCGGCTCTGAAAGGCGTTGATCCGAATTTGCTGATCACGTTTTTTTCACAGAGATCGGCCACAGATTCCTTTTCCAGTTGACATACTGGGAATCGAAACTAGGAATCAAAATGAAAACCTTTGAACGATTCTGGTAAAAACTGACAGTCCCAATCGATGCTCGATGCCAACCCTAGGTGTGAGAGTGACATCACTTCAGCCGGCCAATCAGTCCATAGGTGGGTGTGTAGCGTCGGCTCAGCACGGAACGAACAGCAGCAACGTTAGTGTCGACCTACCAGGGCCAGGCCGAGCTGACCCTAGTGAAACGTAACAGGAGTGCACCACGACAGCTGAACTGGTAATGCAGAATGTCCACTTCCTGTTTCCGAGAGCTGCCTGGTGAGCCCCGAGCCTCCTGCTCATCGTTATCTGATCATGAATGCTCGAACCCAAAGGAAGCTCCTACTCACACAAACCGCAGCGAGTCCCCCCCTCAAACACGAAGCCATTCGGCACGGCTCCGTATCGGCGCAGCGCCGACAACTTCCAGCTCCCGATCACGACGGGAGGGAGGCTCCGGGTCAGGACCAACAGGTTGTTGCACAGGTGGAGGGAGGCGGGGCCACTTTCCAGTTTGGTGCCTGGTTCGACGCCAACGCTGAACCGGTGGACTGAAAAGGAGCGAGAGAAGCAGAGAGGAGTTAAATTGTTAGAAAACTGATGCTACACATTCCCGTTAGTTTACTAAAACAACCAGAGAGTCATTAATCAGAAAGGTAATCAGCCCCAACAGGTGGAGGTGGAGCTGAACACACGCAAACATGAGAGCTGGGATAACGGTGACTTCCTGGGCTCTAACTGGTTCCTGCTCGGTTTGTGTGGATGGTGCGTCTCCGTCTGCCGCCATCTAAAGTTTGGGAGTTTTCTGCGTTTTGTTTTGCTGTTTCAGCAAAGAGCAATCTGCGCCGGATCTTTTTTTTACAGAAATACCTGAATTACAGTTTCCAATTAGCTTAAAGGGTTAAAAAGTCTTTAGTGTTGCTTTAAAGACATTAAGCATCAGGACAATCCGGCGTGCATCACTCTGACTCAGCTCACTGATGTTTGTCTCACGGGGCTGCAGCTGTCGGTGGCAAAACAGGAAGCACATTTACATCAACGCGAGAAATCAAAACATACCCAGATAAAGGGAGATTACGCAGACAGATCCATATTTAATCTGGATTACACAAGGAAAATATTCATAAAATACTCAAATATTCAAATTCTAATTTTTGTGGCTCTTGAGGATCATTAACTTTAGCTTTTTGCCAGGAAACGTTTGGACGCCTGTGTCGCGGTGTTGCAGGATCTGTCAGAACTCGAGAGTGTTGGGGATAATAAGCCGTGATGAACACGTCTGTTAATCTGTTACTGACATGTGTAAGAACGACTTCCTGGCATTTTCATCCAAATCAACACGGTCTCCATGTTTTAGATCCACATGGTCCTAACCCACCTACCTTCGCCCAGACTGTAGCGGATCCGGGTGTCCCAGGCAAGCAGAGCGTCTCGGCTGCTGAAGCCCAGGACCAGTGTGTGAGCCAGACAGAGGATGGAGAGTGTGTAGGAAACACCGTCATAGCCAGCGCCTGGCTCCACCCCACAAATGCCCTGAAGAAGTAGCAGAATCATTTACATACGATGTGTGAATTTATTTATTCATTCTTTTTTTTTTGGAGAAAAGGGCGGCTTGCCAACTCCGGGTCGGGGGAGAGGTCCTACCTCAAGTGGAGGAGTTTAAGTATCTCGGGGTCTTGTTCACGAGTGAGGGTAGGAGGGATCGGGAGATCGACAGGCGGATTGGTTCGGCGTCTGCAGTGATGCGGACGCTGAGCCGATCTGTCGTGGTGAAGAGGGAGCTGAGCCAGAAAGCCAGGCTCTCGATTTAGCGGTCGATCTACGTCCCAATCCTCACCTATGGTCATGAGCTTTGGGTAATGACCGAAAGAACGAGATCGCGGATACAAGCGGCCGAAATGAGTTTCCTCCGTAGGGTGGCCGGGCTCAGCCTTAGAGATAAGGTGAGGAGCTCGGACATCCGGGAGGGACTCGGAGTAGAACCGCTGCTCCTCCGGATCGAAAGGAGTCAGTTGAGGTGGTTTGGGCATCTGGTCAGGATGCCTCCTGGACGCCTCCCTGGGGAGGTGTTTCGGGCATGACCTGCCGGCAGGAGGCCCCCGGGTCGACCCAGGACACGTTGGAGAGGTTACATCTCCAATCTGGTCCGGGAACGCCTTGGGGTCCTGCCGGAGGAGCTGGTGGAGGTGGCCGGGGAGAGGACGGTCTGGAGCTCCCTAGTTGGGATGCTGCCCCCGCGACCCGGATAAGCGGAGGAAGACGACGACGACGACATTCTTTTGTTTGTTTGCTTCTATCCAAACCAACCTGACACTCTTGTTAAACAGCTAACGTAGCCACCAGGTTTGATCACAATCGCTGTCTGACAGCATGAAGAAGGCTAAAAAATCATCAAAAGCAACACTTCTTGGTCCTTTTTGAAGAAATTCAGGAACAAAGAATTAAGAAAACATCTAAAGATCTGTAGGCCTCATTTGGTTCATGTTGTGTCAAAGGCAGGGGCGCCTCCAGAAAATTTTGATAGGGGTGGCCAGGTGGGGCCAAAGAAGTTTTTGGGGTTGCACACCAAATTGGTCCTCGGGGTAACTCTGGAAGAGTTTAGCTTGTGGTGATGTGCCGCATTGCTCCTTTATTTGTTTTAAATAAAAAAAATAGTTTGTATCCAAAACATTTAACTTATATTTTATTAACACAAACATTTCAGAAAAAATACATTCCGTTATTTAAAACGTTATCCCAAGTGTCATTTAAAAATGTAATTTTTTTAGATTAATTCACCTGTTGTTGTGTTCACAAAAAATTATGGAGACAAAAACTTTTTTTAAATGGTGAGCAGCAGGAACGTGTGTTTTTTTGTTCTGATTATTTCTTTACTCATTAACTGTATTTTTCTTTTTTTTTTACAGTTATGTCTTGAATAAATAAGATCAATTTATGGTTCGACTGAACATTAATATGATTTATTAACACAGGCTTTTCCTGGGGGAGGAGCAGCAATTTTCTTGGGGTGGCCATGGCCACCCCTGGCCACCCCTTGGGGGCGCCCTTGATCTAAGGTCATGACACAAATGGCCTTCAAGGGAGAGCTCCAAGACCCAAAACAAAGGAAAATTAAAATAAAAACGTCTTGATGATCCAAATATTTTTAGGAAAATGTTCTGTGGGTGAGGAAGAAGTTACAAGTGTGCGTTTCGTTTCATCTGGAGTAAAACCTGCACTTGTACTGGATCGCTGCTTTGAGTTACAAAAAAAGCTAAAACTAGAGAAATGCGAGGAAAGAAAAACTTTCCATAAAAGGCTTATGTGAAAAAATGGCGATTTGCTGCCGGACTCACCTCCAGCGTGATGTTCAGCCTGTCTTTGTGTCCCAAGATTTTCCCTTTCTTCTTCTCTTTACACACCAGCAAAGTCAGGCAGTCTACGGCAACAGACAAAAGTTTGTGGCTGATGGACTTTTATCTCAACTCTGTGGTAAGTATCAGAACAGACCGATTTGTTTAGTTTAACCGTCTGCAGGAACCCAAACAAGGAAGTCATCCTGGACACAGCTGTAGGTCACATATCATGACTTCTCCCGCCTGACCCCAAATCCCAGATAATGTGATCTGGTGTTATGATAGGTAGGACGGAATCATCCTTAATATTCCCTCAGGGGGGAATGTTGGTGTAACAGCAGCACAGAAAGCAGCACTGTCCAGTAAATAAAAATATATAAAAAGAGAAATTTAATTATCACATTTCTTCATAATTGAGACAAAACAAATGAGATTTCTGCTTTTTTAATGAAATCCCTCTCAGATTTTAAAACTCTTGTGCAGTTGCCCTCGGTGGCCGAGTTACGGCGAGGTCAGCAACAGTCAGTGTTGGGCAAGTTACTTCAAAACTGTAATGCATTATTTATTACTTGTTACCCTCATTTTAAAGTCATTCATTACAATACAATATTACTGATTTAAAATGTAAGGCATTACACTACTTTTGCATTACTTTAAGTTACTTTTACCAATACAACTTCAGTATGAATCTGGTCATGTGACGCTCAGTGAGCTCATGACATACATGTGGAAGGTGATGTGGTGTCTGAGCTAGGATTGCTGTTAAAAACAGTCAGATATAATAACAGTGCTTTAAAATGATTGTTTATTAAATAAAAGCAACAATAATCTGTACTCTCAGCATGCTGCCATCTTAGATTAACTGAGCAGGGAGTGAGGTGGTGGGGGCTCCAAGCCTATATTAGCCTTGGTCCCCAAATGCCTTGATACGGCCCTGGATGTGGGACTGACTTCTGGGGTGATCTGATTCTATCACATGTATAAATATTAAATGCTTATTATTGCTTTTCACTGGTAAACGTGTGTTTTGGGGATAAATCTACCTACTTTTTTTCTTTTCAAGCACTTTGTTTTGTTTTCTTGATTTTATTTGAATAATTTCCGGCCCTTTCTCTCTCTAACCTTCCTGCATGCTGCATGTTTTCTCCGTCTTCCAGAAAAAGTTTCCTAGATTTCCTACTTTCTAACTGATCAGCCAAAGGGATCTACAGAACACAAAAAAGTAGCTTAAAATGCGCTGCGCTCCAGCAGCAATGAGTTGAAATCACCGGGGCACAGATTATGAACTCAGCTGAAAAGTACATGAAGTACCAGAGAATATGGGCTGATATAAACGATCGCAAACGAATGACTTTGTTTTGGTGGAGCGGTTTTGTGAATATAACAGCGGCCGCGCGCAGGACGCAGCTGGAGTATTCGAGCCGTTACCGCTGCGTGCTCTCTGCTCATAGGATGCCCACAAAGCTGAGTCCATAAATTACGTCATATATGTGGATACTGGATCTTTTTTCAGGCTTCCCGCAATTTGACTTTTTAGGAAACCCACATCTTGATTCTGGGTTTAAAAATGCGTTGTAATTACTGCGTTACTGACAATTGTACCGAGTAAATATTACCATTTTCGTTCCCTGTAATGCCTTACATTACCACATTACAGCAAAAAGCAATGCATTACAGTAATTAATTACTTTTGTACCGCATTACTCCCAACACTGGCAACAGAGAAGGTGCAGATCTTACCGGGTGAGTTTCAGGATGAGGCGGTATAAATAGGAGCTGTGGAGACATACCTGCAACGGGAGAGGGCTTCTGAAGAACAACCCAGCGACTCTTCCACTGCGGAAAAGTTTGTTAAGACACATTAAATCACAAAGATTTATTCCTGGGATGAACCTGGGATGAAGGGCTTGTTTGGAGGAATCAAGTAGAAAGAAATGTTTTTTGAATGAACCTTTTTTCCATCCCTAAACTTGACTTGTCCTTCTGCGACGACCGTCTCCGTCATCTTCAGTCATGATTCTGAGCAGCTGTGTGTGTGTGAGTGTGTGAGAGAGAGAGAGAGAGAGAGACAGAGAGAGAGAGAAAGAGAGAGAAAGAGAGAGAGAGAGAGAGAGAGAGAGAGAGAGAGAGAGAGAGAGAGAGAGAGAGAGAGAGAGAGAGAGAGAGAGAGAGATGGGTTCAATTTTCAAAATAGCCTTTGAGGTCCCGGTCTCCGACACTTTCTCTGCCCTCTGAGGCTGGGTGTGGGGGGGGGGGGGGGGGGAGGGGGGGGGGCGCCATGTTGGTACAGCTGTCATCACGCTTCAGGCTCTTGTTGTTTGTCCCGTAGCTAATTCGATTAAAAGGGCATAGCTTTCATTCCTCTCACTTAGCTCCTACAACGTTCTGTTAGCCGGGGACCCATCGGGCCTCGGCTCCGTCTGTGTAAATAAAGCAGGCGGGAGAACGAGACGTGTTAAGACCTTATAAATAAATAAATATACTCTAAAGTTATCATCAACATCAAAAGGATTATGAGATTCAGACTGATGGAATGTTTTACACCAGCGAGACAATTTATTTACATATTTAGCATCAAAGATTTTAAAAGCGAGGAAAAACAAGATAACAGCCCAGCTGGCTCGCCGGTCTAAGGCGTTCTGATGCTGATCCTGGCTCAGCCCGTGTTTTAAAGCCTTCACTTTAATTATCGGGGGATGAACTGTCCCCCGAAACGTTTAATCATCATAGATAAGTCACTTATTTAGGGTTTTCTTTTCAATACATAAAAAAGCACGATGATGACCTAGCCTCTCATTAGTCCCTAAGGTGCTCTTCTCTGACAATCTGCAACATAATTTTTCTCTAATAAAGAAAAATCTAGAAGATTGTAGAATAAAATCTGGGTCTTTTCTTGATGACTTGTCTCAAAACTTAAAAAGCTGTTGTTAGGATTATGTATTATATTATTATATACAAGCAAAACACCAATAAAATCCATTAGCGGGCTTTAAAACACAAAGTGAGCCAAAACTTGGAGAAATCAATAATTTAACACAGCATAATAGATGATTAATGTTGAGCTGTTTATCTCATTTGGATTTCTCCCAGCTGTTTAGGGTCAAATTAATTTTAATAAGTCATATGTAAACAGTATTTTAATATTAAATCAGTTACTATGATATCAGCTAAATACAGTTTGTTTGAATGACTGATAAGCACACTCATCAGGAAACTGTGTAACCATAGCAACTGTATCAGCCCGAGTCTCCTCCCTTTCTGGTCGGCTCATGGGTCTCTGAACGGGGCTAAAAGTTATCGTCTAATCCACCTGGCCTTACGCCCCGGATCACACGTTTTACTTCAGTTTTTAAGGAAAAATAATGACGTGTTTCGACTACGCCTGTCACGTACTTTGAGATTTATCAGCTTGCAAAAATTCCTACGTCGTATGTATGACGTCACCACAGAATCTCCTCTCCCCTAGCGTAGCTGCTATACCGCGTGACCAGATTTATGGCGGTTCTTTCCTCCTGAAGGAAGGATTTGAGGCTTGCTGAACTTTTACTGACATTTATCTACGGCTCTTCTACGTGTCTGGATCAATGACGTCAATTTAGTGGTGCGCATTTGTAGTCCTGGACTTATTTTCACACAAAACCTAAAATAACTTTGGCCCCATTCAAAATTAAGCGCGTTCTTGGCATCAGAACACGTCTTTAAACATCACGGACGTCATATGTGAAATCCACGGCACACACCAAACGGGATTAGAAAATAGCTTTTATAGCCCCGTTGACGTGCATTCACTTTTTCCTTCTTCCGGGACCGTGGTCCGGAAGTAGACGGGCGTGACTTAAGACTCCCTATGGTTGGAGGTGCTAACACACCGGTAGCGATCAGCTAATGATTTGGGAAATTATCCGATTGTGGTTTTGAAGAATTTTTTTCTTTTTGGATAAAATTACTTCTTTCCTTTTATTTTTTCAGCTTTCTGTTTATCATGAAGTTTAAAATTAAACGTGTAATACTTATGTGTCGCGTGTAATTGATGTCAAACTTATAGCTAATTTCTAAATCTAAACCAGCATTCATTGCTGGGGTTTTTCAAACGGCAGAGCGCATTTTCAGAGCAGATTAAATTTACAAATGCATCCAATTAATATAGTGTTCGTAAATTTCATCTGCCGCTCGAAAAATATGCTGTTAGAAAAAAAAGCTGCATTGATGCTGTTTTTCTTTCTTTTTTCTTTTATTTATTTATTTATTTTACTGCAGAACGCTTCCCACAGATAATTAGAATGCGGAGCATTCTATCACGCTAAAACATTATGAAAGGTTAAAAAAAAAAAGTCGGGCTCGGGTCGGGCCAAAGAATCCGGAAAACCTTCTCGGACCGGGTCGGGCTGGGGCTCCACCCCCTCGGGCCGGGCCGGACACGGGCTCAGATTTTAGGCCCGTGCAGGGCTCTAGTCCTTTTACTTTCTGCAGCTAATGCAGACACAGTGTTGTGGTTCAGCATGCATGTTATGCCTCCTCAGCTGGTTCCTCCCTTAAGTTTGGTTTATGCTTGACGCGTCCGTGAGGTCCGCACGGCTCTGCGCGGCAAAATTGCATCATCTTAACAACCACGCCCCTCCACCGCGCCTCCGCACGGCCCAAACTTTCCGCACCGCGCACCTAGGAAATTTTCTAACCACGCGGACGGTTGGACGCGGAAAAACATGGCGGACTGGCAAGAACTAGTATGGCAGAGGTTCGTAAATACAGACATTTGTATGATTCAGCTCTCAGAGATCACCGTGATCAACATGTTGTTAATAATTCTTGGAGAGAAATAGCTCGCACTGTCGGAAAAGACGAGGACGCTGTTAAAAATGCTGAAATGCCATGTTGTAAAGTCATTTCTACTTCTGCTATGGTGTAGTGTTGGATTCATGCTGTAGAGCTCCATGCTGCCCCCTACAGTTTGGGAGAATATTGGCTCACCGCAGAGACGAGCCGCATGAACCATAAACGCTGCGAGTTGTGAAGCACGTTCCATCCGCGAGCCGCATCACCAAGCGGAAAGTGAATGCGTCGAGCATAAACCAGACTTTAAGCCCTTGCACACCTACCAAAATAACCAGTTATCTCCTAGATGAGGTCTTTATTATTAGGGTCAGTCAGAATTTTGCTAAATTATAACTAATAACAAGGAAAGCATAAAACAGTTTCTTGTGAATCATTTATTTTATCAAGTATTTTAACTAAATGTAGAATGCTGAAGAGAAAACCAAGTAAAGTACTTTAAAGGTGTTGAGCATGGTGCTTCAGCCTTTAGCGGTGCATGGAAGGTGTCATCTGGGACACAGACTTGATTAATCTCCCAATAGCAGCCCTCAGTAGGAGGTTTGGAGCCAGCTGCACTGAGGTCGGGGATTCGGAGTCAGACCGACATCAGGCTCCTCAAACAAAAGTCGCTTTTAATTTACTTCGGTCTGTCTGCCCTTTAGCGTAACCCCGCTCCAGCTGTTTCTTGACATTGACCATGGTGGGCAGGTCTGAGGTCTGGTACACCGCTGACCTCATCCTACCACCACGGCACTGCAGTTCCAAGGCAACACCCTCCCACCTCCTATCCAGCTCTGGAAACTGGAAGCCCCGACGTTCTCGGGACCCTCTGTGTTTCTCCCTCAAGTCTGCCGGGTCTGAAGAGCGTCCAATTTTGTCCAAATCCAAAGCCCGTTTCGGTGGCGAGTGACCGGAGCGGGATGAAGGAGATTTGGATTTGCGACGAGAGCGAAGTGGAGGACGAGGTGGAGGGGATGGTGGGGAGGAAGGGGCGGGGTTTGAAGATGCTGTCCGTCTGTTTGGCCTTTTAAAACCACTTCCACTTCTGTCTTTACCTGTGGACGAGGAGCCTGCTTTAAAACTGAGGGATGAGAAAAACAGAGAGGGAAGGGGACATGCCACACCACTCACTGGCACAGCAACACACTCCAGATGCAAGAAACGAAGTCTAAAATCAGACCGGTGTTTCCCCCTCGGTTGGTTTACAGCTATTTAAGTGGAACGGAGACCGGGAAATTAGAAATATGTCAAATATCTCACTGATGGCAGCAAGTGTTCAAACATCAAGGGCACACACACACACACACACACACAGGAGAGCTGGGAGGCAGCAGGAAGCTAATTGGATGTGACAGATATTCCCATGCTGGTTTTTGGCTCCAGCATCATGGGAACTAGTGAAAAATGTCTTGATGAGCCTGTGTGCCATCCGTGCAGACTGCTGCCACCTACTGGCTGAGAGGGGTAAGTTACACACGCCTCATTTGTTAAACTTTCCCCTTTAAACGTGTGAAACTTTTTCTATGGAATACTTTAGTCTGATGAAAATGCTAAAGACTCCACACGTAAAAAAGAAAAATTATATTATATGTAAATCTGTGCTCTGACAAACAATAATTATAAAAAGACAAAGATATGGAATAAAAATGTACACTTTTTATTCTAGCAGAAGCATCCTTAATACTGTTTAACCCTTTGATGCATGAATTGTGAAATCTTCAACCATGATTTTTTAACAATTTTTTTCATTCGTCTTTAGGTGTGAATGAAACAAATTTCAACAAATATTTTTTGTAAAATTTTTTAATTTACAAATAATTTATTACATGTCCACCTCAGTGGACAGCGTGCATTCTGAGTCTGAGCATGAAATATGTTGGCTTGACTTACTGAAGTCCAAATGGAGGGGTTCAAATGCAATAAAGTCTTCAACAGCTGTGCTTAATAGCAAAAACAAATAAATAACAATTTGAGTACCTGTCCATTGTAGTGACCATTATGCATCAAAGGGTTAACCCTAACCCCCACCCCAATCAGAGGCCTCTACAGTTTCATGTCCCAAACATCTACAACTGTCCACATTCTCCAAACTAAAACCACAATCACACAGCCCAGATGGGAAACAAGGCCATTTTAAATTGTAATAAATTAAGATACAATGATGTTTGAACTTTACTTTAGAAGAGCATCTGACCTTCTCTGGTGTCTGCTGGAAAAATAAAACTTTGAACAAATTTAGTTGAGGACCCCTGGAATAAATAAAACAATGACTAAATTTCCTAAATGGATTTTGAACTCACAACCTCCATCCTGTCAGCACGTTCACACAGGGCAGCTCTTCTAAAATAAAGTTCAAGTATCATTTTATCTTAATGTATCAGAAACCAAAAATTGCTTTGTTTACTATCTAAACTGGTT